TAATTGGTAAGTCTATTATATTTCAAAAAGTTAAAGCAAGTTTATTCGAATTATTATTAATCAAAGAGAAGAATAATGATCCATTTATATTTCAAAAAATTTCAAAAAGTTTATTCAAATTATTTTTTAAGAAAATGAATTAGCGAATATTTTGAATAGAGATAGTTTGATTTAAAGTGCTTTTTCTTTAATCAAAATTAAGGATTTTTGAAATAGAAATAAAAATTTATAAAAATGATGTATATAAAAAGAATCATGATTATTTACATTGTCTTATCAAAGAATATTTGAAACAAAAATGATAAGGTGCTACGATTTGATGAAATCTGCAGTTAAAATATTAATTTATTCATGAATATACTAAAACCTTCTTTAGTTATGATTATAATATTCTTTGGCACTACAACCAAAAATTTTATGAGAATAAGTATTGAAAATAAGGAAGAATGAATATTTCTTAAAAGAAAAGATCAAACGATTACATAGATTGACTCTATCTATAAATATTACTGTTTATTAAATATTTAAGATGGTTTGTGGTTATTGATTCTCAAATTTAATCTTTGCTATCTAAGCATCTAACTAATCATGAGCTGCTTGATTATAAAAGATGGTTATTGGTATTAGATTTACTTTATCTACCATTTTCTCCACAAAAAAGAGATTATTTTAGATAAAAAATGGCATAAAAGAAGAGCAAATTTATTTTACCTTAAATTCTCAAGATAATAATCTAAAATGGACCCTTGGATTTCAATATTAATAGTTATGAATTATAGATATAAATATTAATTGAAATCTAGTTATTGTAATAATTTTCAAAGTTATGAAATAATTATAATAACAGGTTTAAATGCTTGTCTAAATTTTATTACTTCTTTTCGGATTGCTTTTTCTTTTCTTTGTAATTAAGCCTATGATTACGATGATCAAATTAAAATTATAATTTGGATCATAATGTAGGATTTAGTATAATATTTATGGAATATTTGGATTGCATACTAAATTCAATTTGAAGAATAGATGGAAAAAATCAGAGGATTAAAATGTTAAATTTATTGTGAATAATTATTCATCAAGGGTATAAATCACAATCATTGATCCTGACTATTACAAATATGTCTTAATCAACCCTGAAAACTTTTCTAAAATTAATGATTTAAATACAAAGTAATTTGAAATTTATCAATTAGTTAATTGTTTGATGAAGGAATAATGTTTTAATAAGGTTAAAAGTGGAAGTCATAAAAGGAATTATGTTCTTTGCATTTTGATCTTAAAAAACTCAATAGCAGTATATCAACTCAAAATTAGATTATTTAAAAACATATTTTGTAAAATGATTAATAAATTGATCAAATTTAAACAACTTTATTAAAAATAGTGAATGAGATTATTATTGCTAGCTTTTTTGGATAAGATGCTGATAAAATGCAAATTAATGGTAAAAATATAGGAATTGAAACAATCGATTTATTCTAAAACTTATATAAATTAATGTACAAACCATATTTCATTATTAAAACAATTCTATTTGGGTTTTAAGCATTAAAGATGTTTCCTAACAAATAAGAATAAATAATTCAAACTAAAATAAATAATATCAAATTGTTAATAGAAAAAATAATATAAAAAAGAATAGTCTAACATGAATTAAAATTAGATGAAGATGAAAATGAAATCTTATAAGTGTCTGAAGATTTCCTTAATATTTATATTGAAGCGTATCTTTAATCTAAAAAAGGGGAAAATAAAATATCTTTAGAAGAAATTAAATAACAATTTTTTACTTTCCTCTATATAGGTAGTAATACAACAGCTTAATTAATATACTCTAGTTTATATTATTTAGCAGAATACCCAGAAATCTAAAATGAATTAAGATAAGAAATAGCGAATAATTGCAAAGAAGAAATTAATTAATCTTCTGAATTACATTGTCTAGTTCATTTAAATGCCTTCTTTAATGAAGTTCTAAGATTGAATCAAAATGTAACAATAATGAGAAAAGTTTAAATTACTCACTATATAAAAGATCTAAGATTAGAGAGAGGTATGATATCTTTTAAAATATTTATAGATTGGATTGTCAAAGTAGACCCTTAAGTAATAAATTGCCAAAAAAAATACTTTGATAATCCTCTCGAATTTAATTATAAGAGATGGCTATAAACACAATCTATTAAAGAAAATAATAATTTTGTCTTTATTCCTTTTTCATCAGGTCCAAAAAATTGTGTAGGATAGGATTTGGTTAAAATAATTTATATGTTAACTATTACAAAAATTATGAGAAATTTTATGATTATTAAAAATCAAAAAAAAATAAATAACTTAAATGACTAGGAGATCACTTTTGTAAAATAATTAATTACATAGAAGTGAAAAAAATAGACTTAATTTATAATGATTATCATCATAATTTAATAAATAGATATCTAATTTTTTTTAACTATTGGTAACTTAAATCTATATGATTTTTCTGAAATCAGGATAAAATTTCTGAATTTTAAAGTATTATCTCATGCCAATTATATCCTTTTCTATAATTACAAAGTTTTAAATTATTTTATATTGATAAAAAAAATCTTTTTTTATTTTAGAAACTTATATATTTATAATAAAGTTTGATTGCTATTATGATGAATATTAATACAAGTAAATATTGTTATAGAAATTTAGAAATAAGATAAAAACAACTCAAACAAATTGTAGTGTTCAAAAATATAAAATTAAAGAATTTGCAATTGTGAAATATTGTGCAAACATAGAATTTGCTAAATCATGAAGAATTAACAAATCAAACAACTTAGTTATTCAGATTTTCTTAACCTTAAAATCTATTGACTCAAATAATTAAGATTTTTCACTCTAATTCTGATGAAATAATTTAAACATTTCTTATAAAATGTCAATTTTAAAGAAGACTTAAAAGAAATCTGATGAACTATTTAAGTGTCAAATTCTCTAATTTTAAAATAATCTTGATAATATTAACTCATTGCAAAATTTCAAGATTCCTTAAATCACTACCTTCTTTCATTAGAATTGTTCTGAATAGAGATAAGTGCAAATTAAGATTAAATTGTGAAATAGAGTTTATTGTTTATTCTATCTCCTTTAAGTTAAAATAAATTAATAAAAACTAGAATATAGATATATATATGATATAAATATTATTCTAAATTAATGTCCTCAATATTATGTTTCATTGTATACAATTAAAAGTTAAAAATAGAAAGACAGTAAAAATTTTATCTACTACATTAATAGGTATTAATAAGTATCTTTACGATATATATAAAAATGATAAAATATATAGTATAAACTATTGAATATATATAATTATGCTCTAGATATATTTTAATTATTTAAAAAAGCTATATCTTGCTTATGATTATTTCTAAACATAAAATAGAGATAAAATCAAAAAACAACAATACTTATAATCAAATAAATGAAATAATTCATCTAAAAGGAGAAAGAATTAATTCAATTGAATTAAGAGGCTCATTTAGTTCATAAAAATGTTAGATAATTTCCTCTTAAAATTTCTCTAAACTCTCTTTGGTACAATCGATTGTGTAATATTTATTTCCAATTTTTGCAGTGTACTTTAGAGGTATGGGTGATTTGAATAAAGAGCCTTCGTAGATCTTAATATTTTATTTGATAGATGGGAATGTACCATGAATAGTGAGTCTAGTAGTATGGTAGTTTTTTATAGCTAGGACCTTTGTTTCCATTAATTAACTAAATACTATGGTAGGATTACCCAATACAAATATTTTTGGCTGATGAATTGTAATATTCAGAAGAGTCATCATTTTGTTATTTCATTTTTATTTTATTCTAAATGATTAAAATATCTTGGTAAATAATTCATTGGTTCGGTTATTAAAAAACTAGTAATAGTCTACAAACATATTTTTCTTAAGAGAGTTTATATATTTTCAAAAATTTTAATTTATTAAAAGGCTCTCTAATTATGTTAAAAATCTAAAATAGTTTTGAAAAGTATGATTTTTATAAGCTACACTATTTCTATTTCTAAGAGCAGATAAGGCCATATGAGACATATAATAGTATTAAATTAGGTATAATGTGGGTTGAAACTGATTCAATAAGGTGAAGTTGAAGAAAATACAATATTTCTCGTAAAATAGTTATTTCTATTAAAAATAACATTGTAATTAATAAATTAGATTCTATCACTTTCTTTGTAAATCTTTAAATTCATAATAATTAAGCAAAATTCTGAGATATAAAGATCTTGTAACATGAATAAATGTTAGATAATAAGGAGATAAATCGTATTTTTTAATATTTTATTTAAAATCAAGTCTTCATTAACTTTAACATTTTAAAGCAATTAAGATATAAAGAGAAATGGTTAAGGAATAAGAATTATTTCTCTAAGCATAGAGATTATTACTTAAAAAAAAATATTTTAAAATATTTGATTTTTCAAATTTGTTATAATCTTAATATATAGAAATGACCTAGTTATGAAATCTAAAAAGTTATTATCAATAATAATGTGGAATCAATGATGAAGACAGGGATAAAAATAGTTTATTAGATGTGAATTTGAACAATCACTTTGAGTTTTAATAATGATAAAATTAAAAATTTTTGAAGCTCAAAAAGCCAAGTCTATTTTAAAATTTTCTTAAGCTCATTCTGATTCAAATATACCATTTGATGAGATTTAAAATAATGGATAAAAAACACATTCTAACAAGGAAATAGATTTTGATATAGATTAATTGAGTTATTAGAAGTTGTTTTCTTCAAATGAAATAGATTAAGAATTTGATTTTTTAGATTAAAGAAAATCTAATTCTTAAATGGGAGTTAGTCCTGGATTATCTAATACTTTTTATGATTTAGAGTTAACTGATAAAGCTTTAGAAATTTAACCATATGGAAGTGTTTCTTATAATTAAAGAGAGATACCAGAAATACTTTTAGCTTTTAGGAAGAGGAGAGTAGCTTAAATATAGGTTCCATATATATCATCTTAGTGTTAAGAATCTTGTAAGACTTTATCTAATTTTTCATCTCCAGACTTATCTCCTATGCAAACAAAAAAATTATAAGTAAAATCTTTTATTGATCTATTACCATTTGAGAATGAGAATGAAGATGATGAACTTTATAGTGTTTTTGATGATGAAATAAACCATTATGGTCCCTTATAACAAACAAAAATAGATTTTTTGGATAATTTACATAAATTTTTAGTTTTATATAAGATGAGAGCAGGTACATTTCCAAGATAAAGAGAAAATTTAGAAAATGAAATAATAATATCAATTGCTATGAATTTAGCTAAGGTTGATAAATAATTATATAAAATAATATTTTCCATCAAAAAAGGTATATTTTGATGATGAAAATAATTATACTAGAGTTAAAAAAGTTAAAAGAAAGTAAAATAGATAACTTACTTAAATTGAAACTCCTGATTTTTAATATGTGAAGGATATAATTTGATAATGTGAATATTGATTTTGAATATATATATTAAATCTCTCATTTTTTTCTTTTACCATTATTTATACTGTAAGACCTAGCTTTGGTAGATTCTTAATCTTGAATTTAACTAAATTCATTATGTGATTTTTTTTTTTTATTTGCATCGAGACATGGAAAGCATATAAACTTCAATTTTGATATATTTTTTAGTTCTTTATCACTTTTTCCACTACAAACATAATGAACCCATTCGTTACATTAATCACATTGAATATATGGTTCAATTGGATCATATAATTTTGAACAAAAACAATATGTAGTCCATTAATTAATTGGAGGTTTAAATTATTATTTTAATGTGTTATATTATGCTCTTGTATAATATTGATTATTTTTAAGTATCCTTGTATCATCACTATAAAATTCGATTGGATTGACTTGAATTTTTTATTAAAATGTAGTGCTTAGAAACCATTTCGTTTATTCAGTTAAAAATAGATCTTTGGATGTACATTCTTTAAGCTTAGGAAATTCATTTATACAATCTTCAAAATCTTTGATTCTGTAATAAATCTGACCTTTAATGAATCCCGCCTATTCAGTTAGTAAACTAATTTTTATTATCTAAGTAATTTTGGCATAGTAAAACTTCCTGTTAACTTAAAATTCAGCATTTTCAGATGGTGCTAATTTCTCTTTAAAGCGAAATGATATATAATCACATTCTTCTAAAATATCTGAATCTTGAAAGTAGGAGATAAAGGTCTCAAACTATATAATTTAATCATTTATTGATTACATCTTATTTTTCAAGACTCTCTGTAATTGCTAATTTATCTTCTTTTGAAAGCTTAAGTTATTTCATTTATGATTTTTCTTATACAAATAATTATTAAAATTGCAAAATATATGTATTAAATTATTTCATACTATTCTCAATTACTTCTAGTTGAAACAACACTTTTTTATTAGAGTTCTCTTCATTAAAATGAGAATTCATTTATTTTATTATAATTGTTTTTTTATATTATCCTGATATTCTTGTTTCTTATTTATATTCAAGGATAAGCTTTAATTTATTGATCTTTCAATTTAAAGCTCTATATTTGCCTATTATTTATTATTATATTACCTTTTATCTATTTCTAGATGTAATAAGTTTAGTTTTTTTAGGTAAACCTCTTTTAGATCTCCAAAACTTTTGTTGAATCTCATTATATTCTACTTCCATTATTTTTGATTAAACTATCTCTGCCCTTTTAATCCTAAATTATTTATTTTATATAAAAGCCTTTATCAACTTAAGGTTATTAATCATTCTTATCTTTTATTTCATATACTTAGTAAATGATCCCTTTTAATGTTTTCAATTTTCTAACATATGTAACTTATTTATCAAGGAATCAAATTATTCATTGTTTAATAATTGAAATTGTAAATCCCACAATTTTATAAGTATGAAATTCATCACCCTTCATTTACTTATGTATTTGCTTTGATATTTGTTAAACTTTCATTCAAAATCTCACTTCACAAGTAGATTCAAGTATTTAAACTTTTTTATTATTATTTTTTATTTTTATATCAAAATATCACTGCAAAGTAGCAAAATGATTTCATTCTGATAACTCATTTTAAAATAAAGTCCTAAATAAAATATTATCCAATAGAATATTATAGAATAGGGAAATCATTATTAAGAAAATCTTGGTTTATTGATTTTACAATAAACTATAATTTTTTAGCCTATTTTAACATAAAATATATATAAAAGTGTGTAATAGACTCATTATCTAAAATTTAGATTATTATTTTATAAAACTCAGAAAAAGGCTCCAAAAAATAAAACAGTAGATATAAATTTAATTACATAAAAATAACTTTATAACATATTAATAAAAATTATTCAAATTCAAAGTGATTCTTTAGCTTATAATTGGACTTTTTGTAATTTATAAACTTATCTATTCAAAGCTGATTTTTGAATCAAGAAACCTAATTTAGCATAAAATCTTAATAAATGAGAGCATTATTCACCACATTATCTTTAATGATTTTATCTCAATTTAGATAAGTATTCATTAAATTCTTCTTATTTTAATTCATCACTATCTGCTTTATTAAAGAATTTTTTGATTTGATTAACAGCTTCTTAAAATTATGGATCATTTTTGGCTTTTCCTTATTAAAGTTTTTTAAATGCTTCTTTGTCTAATTCATTATAATCAGGTTTATCAATAATAATTTAAGTATTTTATTTTTTTTATTAGAATTATTCTTGTGTTTAAGTGAATAATGGTATTTAACCTTCCGTTTGAATACCAATATCAATAACAATTACAGATTATAGATCTGGTTTAGGTAATCTTTTTTATGATTATCGAATTTATTTTAATTCAGGATTAAATCCATCATTTTCAATAACTTCAAATTCTTAAATAATTTCTTCTCCAAGTGCATTAATTCTTTTTTTGATTAAAATTCTTTAACCAAATTCATCAACTCGATCTTCTTCTACAATTTTTTCATTATTATCATCAAAATAAGATCTCTAATGAATATGTCTTTTAGCTCCATTAGATAGATTAATTGTTTATTATTAATATTCAACAGAATTTTTAGTAAAATTAGTAGTTTAAATTTTCATATTATTTTCATGATCAACCATATGAATAGATTCTTAACCATTTTCATCAATAATAACTTTTTATTCAGTAGTTTTACCATTTTTAGTAATTCTTTCAATTCTTTCATTAGGTCCTAATTATATAATAATTTATTTTCCAATTTCTAATCCATCTTAGGTGATAGTAGTTTCAATAGTTTATTTTCCATCTTCATTTTTAAAAGTCTTTTACATTTAAACTTCTTTAGTTCTCATATTCATTTTTCTTTAACATTCTACTTATAAACCTTTTTCATTAATATAAGTATATTTGGTAACTTATATTTCATCTCCAAATTCATCATTAAATACAGCTTCTGTTTTATCTTTATACTATTTCATAACAATACTAGATCTTCTTCCATTAGGATGGATAGTAATTTCATCAATTTTTTTAGTTTAATCATCTCCATTTATATATATTTTCCTCATAATTTTAAGTCCTCCTTATTTAACTTCTTCTTCATGTTAATACATATCTCCATTATCATCCTTTAATACTTATTTTGTAATAGATTCTACAATTTCATGTTAACTATTTCTTTTAATAATTTTTAATGTATCTTAACCATATTTTTATTTTTCTAATATTCTCATAACACTTCCATTTTCATTAGTTCTTTCTTCTATAATTGATTCTTTATGATCTAATCTTTTAGCTGATAATCTGATTCCTCCCTTTTCTCCCTTATCTTCATATAACAATTATCCATTCTATTAATAAACTTTATATTAATGTTTTCCATCTGCCTATTAAGCTATCCACTCTTCTTCTAATTATTTATTACCTTCAACAGATTTTACTCTAACAATCTTTTTTACTTATGCAGTATTAACTTCATATTAAGTAACATCATCTGATTTTTAAACAATCTTTACTTTCTAATTTCCATACTTAGCTACAATCCATTCATTTTCATCTAATGTTTATTCTTTTGATTTTATTTATTTAATCAACTCTTCTTATTCTAACATTATTTCTTATTGAGGATCACTTTATCTTGCTCTACTTTTCACTATCTCTCCACTTTCTACATCTACTACTACTTCTTCTATTACTTATTAACCATTAATCTCTTTTACTCTAAATTCTATTCTCTTATTTTATAATAATTCTGGATCAAATTCTGGATCATATTCTATAATTCCTGCTTCTATTGCTTTTCTCTTATGTTCCTATAATTCTACTTACTTTATTATATCGCTTAAAGGAGGAAGATTCTCTTTTAAATCTTTTGATTTAAAATCTTTTGTTACTTCTATTTAAGTTATTTTCTATTCTAACACTTAGGTTACATATTATAAAGATTGTTATGCAAAATATTTCACTTTTAATGCTGGCGTATCTTAATTAACATCCTAAAATATTTCAGATTATTTCTAACATGCCTTAATTCCCTCTTCAATTATTTACTTTACATTATCATATTGAGAATGTAAATAAAAATAATTTACAAAATGGTTTCTTAATTCAGAAATTGCTTAAAGTGACAATTTTTATTATGCAGTTTCAGTTTGGATTTCTGCATCAAATTTTTCAATCTTATTTAATGATTAATTATCATTTCCATTCACATTTATATTATTTAATAATTCATCTAAATCAACTTAACTTGCTTTTGATGTTTTATATACAAATTATTCATTATCATCTGATAATTTTCTTATTTTTCTTTCTAATACTATATGTTCCATTTTCTAATTCAAATCATGTCCATCTCTCTTTAATTATTCTAAATATTTTTTATAGTATGCTTATTTAGTATCCTAAATTTATGGCAATTTACGATAATGATCACATAAAGAACAATTTATTAATCTTAATGATCTTCTTCTTTGAGCTCTTTATTAAAAGAGTTTTCTAGTTACTTCATCAAAATCATTGTCTTTTAAACATTTGATTAATTGAGTTATCAATTAAAAAACTTTTATTGTTTAACCTCTAAATTCTTCTCTGATGTAAGGTACAATAGATTAAATTACAATCCAAGATATTGTATGCACTGAATGAAATACATGTTATAACTTGTCTTATTCTATCTTTAGAACATCATCACTTAATTTTTGAAGTATAACATCTAATTTATGAGCCAATTCTTTTTCCATTTTATAAATTTAATAATATATTTTATTGTATCAAAATTGTTTAGGCAATAGATACTTTGGAACATCATTAAATTTTGGAGGAATATTATAAGCACCTGGACCAGGAATGATGTCCTTTTTGATTAAGCCTTAACGAATGTCTTTTGAGAATCCCCATTAAGGACCTTCGAGAGATGATTTAATCGAATATTATCCAGGTCCAGGAAAATATTGTGTTAACAATTATTTAGTTCTATGTTCTGGAACAATCTTCACTGAACCTTCTTTATGTTTAATCACTGAATCATCTGGGTTATACTATCCTGGTCCTGGTATGTAAGCTGAAGTATTTGGATTGTATTTTGATCCTTTAATTGAAACCATTTATGCATTCTAACCTTTTGGTAAAGAATATTATCCAGGGCCAGGAGTAATTGTTATTGAATCATTCAGATCTTTCCTTAATGCTTAAGGCATCTTAAATGATGGAGCTGATTTTTATAATGAACTTAGACTATCTTATCTTCTAATAATTATTTAATAAATAAAATTTACTCTCTATAATATTATCCAGGCCCAGGTAATAATTTACTCAATTAATTCTATGTATTTCTTAATTCTGAACCTATTTTATAAGATGGATAATTAGATTTAATTGATGAAACATCTTAATCATATGCTCCAGGACCAGGTTGATTAGAACTGTAATCTTTTGTAATAAATTTTTGTTTGATAGTAAAATTTTTGGATAGATTGAGAAGACTCTTTAAATGATATGCTCCAGGTCCTGGTTATGTTTCTTATTTTCTTAAATCTGGAGATCTTTAAGATGTTCCTATAACCCATGAAGGTTAAGACTTTTCTAATAATAACTTTGCTGCCTTATCAATATTGTATTCTTTATAAGTTAATTACATTTACATCCAGGTCCTGGTGTCATTCCACCTTCTAATGATGTTAATCTTGGTTATGTTGGAAATTTAATTGAATTGTTAGATATATAGGAACTGTTCAAATCATATTATCCAGGACCAGGTATAATATCCTTTTAAGATGTATGATGTTTTAAACCCAAAGTATACATAGGTTGTTTTTTATAAACAGAAGTGAAACTTTCATCATCATAATTTCCAGGACCTGGAGATAAGGATAGTTATTTCAAATCATGTTTTCCACTCATTGTATATTTAGGTCCTTCTATCATTTTAGATTAATATCCATATTATCCTGGTCCTGGTCCTATTGATGTTGATCGACCTGCTCTTTAAGCTGCACCACCAATACTACTTTAATAAGTTTGACTTACGTCCACTATGGAGCTTATTATTTTGAAACCAATTTTGGAAGATAAGCATTTGGAGCAGGTGCGAATGTATTTAATACAGGATCTGATCTTTTGGCTTAACCTATTGAATAAACCATTTCTAAAATTAATATCAATTATATCAATAATTTTCAATCTCACTCTAGGTCTTCTCCAATATATTCACACATTCATCTATCCAATCTCTTACCTCTTCATTATTTATATTTTAGTATAATGTTAATAATTTATCTTAAATGTTATGTGTGCTCAATTAATTCATCATGTAAACTTATGATTTTACTTTATCATCTCCTGGAATAGATAGAGATACTTTATAATAATCTATTGATTGCAATAGAATCCATAAAGATTTCAAAGTTGCTATAAGGATTTCATTATTTAAGTATTCCAAAATACGTGATATTAAACTTAAAATCTTATGGTTCATAAATATTTGATTCATCTCAATCTTTTCATATTATAACATACTGTATATCAAGTTAACTCCATTTAATATCTACTATTGCTCTGTCTAAATAGTTATTGAAATTATCTTTTCAATCACATAAGGAATATAAGATATTTGTATCGCAAAACTCTCATTCAAATTACATAAATAAGTCAAAGACAACATTGATTTCAATCTATATTCCTTCTCATAAGAGGATAGGTATGTAACATAAATGTCTATTAAATTATATTTCTTATCTAAAATCTTTATTAACTACTAATCATTCATTGTGCTCAATGCAAAAATAATTTCTAATGAAGTAGAATGTAGATGTATCAAATCTTATTTCTATTAGACTATCTCAATAATTTTAGGAAAAGAAACCAAATTAATTATCAAAGGTATTGCATCTATTTAATATTAACTGATATTTCTCAATGCACTTAAACTATGAATGAAATTTTCAACATCTGTTGATTATAATTGTTTATCAAGAATCTATAAGGATAGTTCTAATTCTTCTTTGTTAAGAAATTCTCTGTTTCCTGTTAAAGTATCTAACACCCATACTACTGTATTTAAATGTAAAGAAACTTATAATAAATGCTTCAAACCAAAATGCTATTTGAATTTTTGAACTAAAATTTATTAGTCATAGAATGCATTCCCTAAAGCATACAAACACTAAAATATAAATTCAAACATACTGAATCAACTAAAGAAGCATTCTTAGAAATTAGTAATCTCCCAAAATTCTTCGTTATTACATCACTTAAAACATTCAACATAGGTAAATATGAAGAAAAGTATAATCTTGAATTTTTATCCATTATACCAAAAAAATTAGCTAAAATTGTAGCTCCTTCCGCCTATAATTAAGATGCATGATCAAAATGCTCATTTAATAGAACAAGGATATATCTACTTTATATAATCTTATTACTCAATGAAATCATTCTTAAATAAACAAAGACTGAATGTTTCTCCTCTCTAATCCAAATGCTATAATTTTCTCAATTTCATTAAATTATTAAGCATCTTTTCAAAATCATCAGGCAATCTGTTTCTGTAGATATCAATACAATCCTTCATCAACTCTGTGATGTACTAATCTAATTACTTAATTCANTCATCTCCTGGAATAGATAGAGATACTTTATAATAATCTATTGATTGCAATAGAATCCATAAAGATTTCAAAGTTGCTATAAGGATTTCATTATTTAAGTATTCCAAAATACGTGATATTAAACTTAAAATCTTATGGTTCATAAATATTTGATTCATCTCAATCTTTTCATATTATAACATACTGTATATCAAGTTAACTCCATTTAATATCTACTATTGCTCTGTCTAAATAGTTATTGAAATTATCTTTTCAATCACATAAGGAATATAAGATATTTGTATCGCAAAACTCTCATTCAAATTACATAAATAAGTCAAAGACAACATTGATTTCAATCTATATTCCTTCTCATAAGAGGATAGGTATGTAACATAAATGTCTATTAAATTATATTTCTTATCTAAAATCTTTATTAACTACTAATCATTCATTGTGCTCAATGCAAAAATAATTTCTAATGAAGTAGAATGTAGATGTATCAAATCTTATTTCTATTAGACTATCTCAATAATTTTAGGAAAAGAAACCAAATTAATTATCAAAGGTATTGCATCTATTTAATATTAACTGATATTTCTCAATGCACTTAAACTATGAATGAAATTTTCAACATCTGTTGATTATAATTGTTTATCAAGAATCTATAAGGATAGTTCTAATTCTTCTTTGTTAAGAAATTCTCTGTTTCCTGTTAAAGTATCTAACACCCATACTACTGTATTTAAATGTAAAGAAACTTATAATAAATGCTTCAAACCAAAATGCTATTTGAATTTTTGAACTAAAATTTATTAGTCATAGAATGCATTCCCTAAAGCATACAAACACTAAAATATAAATTCAAACATACTGAATCAACTAAAGAAGCATTCTTAGAAATTAGTAATCTCCCAAAATTCTTCGTTATTACATCACTTAAAACATTCAACATAGGTAAATATGAAGAAAAGTATAATCTTGAATTTTTATCCATTATACCAAAAAAATTAGCTAAAATTGTAGCTCCTTCCGCCTATAATTAAGATGCATGATCAAAATGCTCATTTAATAGAACAAGGATATATCTACTTTATATAATCTTATTACTCAATGAAATCATTCTTAAATAAACAAAGACTGAATGTTTCTCCTCTCTAATCCAAATGCTATAATTTTCTCAATTTCATTAAATTATTAAGCATCTTTTCAAAATCATCAGGCAATCTGTTTCTGTAGATATCAATACAATCCTTCATCAACTCTGTGATGTACTAATCTAATTACTTAATTCAATTAGTATTTTCTTACCTCAGGATTTAATTAGATTTGTTCAGGTGTTTCATTTTATTTTTAAATGATTCTTTTTGATTTGAATATTTCTTCTCTCTTCTCCTTTCTTAGTTGAATGTGAAACAATTCTTTTTTATTTTAAAGCAATTAATTAGTTGCGGTATTTTAATTTGTTTACATTAAATTATTATTAAATTCTCGTCAACCATTGAATGGATACTTTCTAATTAAGTTTGCATCTTCAATTTTTTGAATAATTCTAAATAATGATTATGGAGTATAATTTACATATGTGAAATAAATTTTACATTTTTTTAATTTTAAATGGGTTGTTGCTCAAGTTAGAGACATACCACTAGAAAAAAAACATATTTTACAACTAACATTAGAACATTTTACAGATTCGGTGCTGTATTAGGAAAAGGATCTTTTGGAACAGTAAAGGTAGGATATAAAGATGGACCTGATGGTGAATAAGTTTATGCTATAAAGACAATAAATAAAGTGAGAGTTGTGGATAAAACATAAATGATTTAGGAAGAGTTTGAAATACTGAGGAAAATGGATCATCCCAATATCGTTAGATTCTATGAAATGTATGAAGATGATATGTTTATTTATTTTGTTATGGAACATTGTAAAGGAGGTAATTTACTAGAAAGAGTATTATCAAAAGGTACAGAAATTTGAAAAATAATATATATAGGTAGTTTTGATGAAATTAAAGCAAGCATAGTTATGAGGAAACTATTTTCTGCAATAGCCTATTTACATAGTTAGGGTGTTATGCATAGAGACTTAAAACCTGAAAATATATTATTATCTAATGAAAATGATGACGCAGACATTAAAATAATAGATTTCGGTTTAAGCAAGAAATTAAAGGAATCAGATAAAGATAAAAAGAAATAATTATAACGAAAACAAAGTTAAGTTGGTACTCCATTATACGTAGCTCCAGAAGTTGTGACTGGAGTGTAATTTAATTATTTAAATAATTAGATACAATTAAAAATGTGATGACTGGGCTGTTGGATGTATAATGTACATAGTATTGTGTTCTGAACCACCTTTTTTTTCAGAACACTTAAAAGAATTACTATAAAAGATATAATTCAAACCATTATCATTTCCTTAAGAGGAATGGAAAGGAATTAGTTAAGATTGTAAATAGATAGTTTAAGGATTACTTTAAAAAGATCCAGAAAAAAGAATGACTTGTTCAGAAGCCTTAAATAGTGATTGGGCAAAGAAAGGATTTCGGAAACCATTATAAATAAAAATAAATTAGAAGTAAGGGAATATCAATTAATCAAATGATTGTACTCCTGTGAATACATCTAATATTAAAGGATTGAAAAGATATGCAAAAAGCAAATAATTTAAAAGAGAAGTACTTCGGATATTAATAAATTAATTGAATGATAAATAGATTGATAAATTAAGTTAAAAATTTAAAGAATTAGATAAAGATGAAGATGGATTTATTACACCATAGGAATTATCTTAGATAATGGCTAAATTAGGATTTGAAACAACAAAAAATGAAATTGAATAATTAATTCGTAATACAAATCCTGAAGAATAATAAGCTTTATAAATAAAGTACTCTCAATTTTTGGCAGCTACTTTAGATTTGAAGTAGTATTTGAATAAGGAAAGATTATGGAGTTTGTTTCGTTATTTTGATGTTTAGGATAAGAAATACATAACTAAAGAAGATATATAATAAGCATTAAAGAGAGAAGGAAGAGAAGAGATGGCTTCAGATAAGATTCTTACTGATTTAATGATGCATGATGGGAAAATGACTTATAAAGATTTTTGTTAATTGATGCATGATGATATGGAAAGTGATTAATTCTTTGAACATTTCGAAAAATTGCATGCTTCTCCTGAAAAACATAGAAGTATAAGCAAAACTTGATACTTATATATAATAATATAAATATGGTCATTTGTCTCATTTTGAATAAAATAATTAACTTTTCTGTGATGTTTTGTTTTCAGATTTACTGACTATTATTAATAAATTATGAATAAATTTACTTTGCGCTTTCCATCTGAATTAGAATCAAAATATGAAGAAGCCACAAAAGAGTCTTCATTATCACATTTCAAATCCTATCATCCATTACTCATTATGATCAATATTGGTGTTGCTATTATACAATTACAATAAGGATAAGTAATTAATGGCATATTAGAATCGGTAGCAACTATAATTTTTATCATTTAATTTCCAATGGTATGTCGAATGAAACAAAACAAGAATATTTGTAGCATTTTTGTTCTCAATAATATAATAATGACTGTTATTTAATTGTTTGTTGATAAGAACACAAACAATTACAATAATTTATACGTCTCGGGATGTGGAATTACTATGATTAATATAACCTTATTAGAACATTATGATTTCATTTGGAATGCTATTTCATTAACAATTGTAATAACAATCAGATTGATTTACATCATCTTTTATTTTAAATTTGATGGAATGGCTATAATTTATATAGCTGTTTCATGTTATCTATACATTTAAATGTATCGTAAAACTTATGTGAGAAGAGCACTCTTTTTATAATATGAGAATGAAAAGGAAATTAGTAATTATTATTATTAAATCTTAAGGAAAGATTTTAGACGAAATAATAGAAGATGTCTATATACATTTTAAATTTGATTAGGAATCTTTTTAATTCGAATTAAAATATGCAAATTAGATGGCAGAATAAAGAATTGGAATTTAAGGTAATTAAGATCTAAAGGATTTCTTACATAATTTTTAAATTTATGATTAAAAACAATAACAATAACAATAAAATCAACATTAATTTAGAAATATAAATTTATAACATAGTTCAGGTCCAGATTGTATGAATGTTGGTTAATATCTTTATGAAATGATGATTACTTTATAGAAGAATTCAGCATATTTAGAGATGGTCTTAAAGGATAATTCAACAAATTAACTATATAATGTTAGATGTTTTTAATATTGTGTGATTAACAAAGAAATCATTATGTTAATGGAATAGAAATCTAGGATTTTAGAAGAAGATAAATAATTGAAATAGAAGGATCAAGAAATTAAAATGCTCACTAAATAATTAGTTAAAATAAATGTTAGAACTAAAAAGCAATTAAATTAATTATGTTCTATAATAGAAAATTCTGATCCTAATCCTTACTTTAAGATTAATGAAAGTACAGTAAATGCCTAAATAATCTCGAATACTAAAATATAAATGATATTGGATGCTTTTCAAATATACTATTATAGAAAAGAACAAGTATAACTTTTAGAGATATTCTCTCTAAATTCTATAATTTATAAATGTTTAACTATTATGAATATAATTGCAGAAGTAGAAGATAAGTAAATTACGTTCGAATCAGAATAAACTGAATCAGATGTTATTACTTCCATTTCTATTATTGTGTATTTTATTATATAAAATCTCATACACATATTTTTAGTTTAGCCAAGTCATAAAAATATCAAATTTACTATTAAAAATCTCGACTAAGAAAAAGTAATTGTATTCAGTTTCTACATTGAAGGACTTCTATCTTTAGATTTCTTAAAATAAAATTCATTTATTATGTCTATGGTTTATAGAGGATTATAGATTATTGGTCCTAAAGCTGAAATAATAACAATATCAGATATTATTAATAATACATAAAGTAAATTAATTAGATCATTTTTAGATCCATACTTAATTTAAGTTAAAATTTATAAGAATCTTAAAAATATTTTGAAATAATAATAATGAAATATTTGTATTATTATTTTAATGAATTAAACATAGACCAATTTATCTTAAGTGAGATAGAAAGAAAAAGTGTCTCTTAATGATGGATTACCAAAAATAGATCCTAGAACAGTAATTGAAGAACTTAAAAGTCATTTGTATTCAGATGATAATTTTAAAAAGTGTTAAAATATTATCGAAATAGATTGTTTTCTGATGCAGAAGATAAGAAATATAGAGAGAATTTTTAACTATTTGATAGGGATAGTGATGAAAGAATAAACTTTACAGAATTATAAGAACTTTTAACATCTATTGGTTATGTTTATGATGAATAAGAATTAAGTGAATTGTATAAGGAATTGGAAGATTCAGAAGGATAAGGTATTAGATCTGATGCTTTGTTCATTCTAGTAAGTAAAAAGAAGAGAGAATAAGATAGAGAAGAATAATTGATTGAAGGTAATAATTTAATTATAAAAGAATAGCTTTTAAATCTGTAGATTTAGAAAATACAGGATATATTTAGAGTGAACATTTTAAAGAATTGTTGATGACTATGGGATATAGATTTACAGAAGATGAAGCAGATGAATATATGAAATTTATTGATCCTAAAAATGAAGGCAAATTCCTCTACATTGATATTGTTAAGAAAATACTTAAATGAATTATTATTACATACATAATCAACTCATTAAATTATTTTAATTATTAATATTGGAAACCATATAGACATTGCAAAAAGTTCAAAATAATGACAATTATTATAACAATCCATTACCTATACCCATGTCATGTAACCATTTGTTCTACATTAAATATAATCTGATTCACTAGACTTTAATTAGATGCAACTTGTAAAGTTATTATAAGATGATCTTTTATTTTTAAATCTTTTATTACCTACAATCAATATCAATACCACAAGCCCTTCTTTCAGGTTCACAAATGTTTTATACACAATCCATAACTTCTTCTAAATAAATGTCAGTTCCTTATAGACTATATAGTAGTAAACTTAGTAAAAGAAAATTCTTGATCATACAATCTATATCAAAAATAATTATTTTGTAATTATATTTTATAAAGTTAAAAATTCAGAAATTCAACAATTAAATTTATTTTTTTATAATTTATTAAATAAACCTCTCCTTCTTTAAATATTTGTTTCATATTTTATTTTTCTCTTATGTTTCTTTGGAATCAAAATAATTATCTATTCATATCCATTTTTTATTTTTAATTGAATTCTTATATACTAAAATTATCTGACAATTTTATCTAAATTTTATGGAATTTAAATTTATTATTCTATTTCTTATCATTCTACTTCCAATTCTTAATTATTAATAATTACCTAATTAAGAGGTTCAGAATTAAATTGAAAGAAAACTAAACTTAATAATATAAAAAAGTAGTGATTTATTAGTTGAAGACCTATTTTTAGTCCATAACGATTGATAGTTTAATTGTAATTCAAATTACTTAAGTTCCTAAATAATGAATTAACAAATAAGATTACATAATACTCTCATGATAAATTATTAATTTTTGGAGTTATTTAATTTAATAAAAGTAATTGAGATTTTGTTAATAAAATCAAATGAGTTATTAAAGTATGAGTAATTAAAAAAAATAGATATTTTTACTAGTAAATCTTTGAATAAAGCGATAAAAGTATTAAAATATTTAATATCTTAAAACCCAATTAAAATTAAGAGATAGTTAAATAATTATAAATTCAATTCAATCAGATGATCTGATGGTTAGTTAAATTTTACTGAAATGATTCTTACTATAATTTTAAGGAATTATTTTTTGAGATTTCTAGTTTATATTAATGAACCATTTTCTTCATTTGGCTAACATAGCTTTTTACTTCAAATAGAATAAATTAGCAAAATCAGTATGATGTATTTTTCATCTCAAATTAATAACGATCTTTTTATATTCACCACTTTTGATTGTATCTTTTTATCACTTTTTGTTAATCATTATACATCTAAACCTGTATCTACTAAATTCGAAAAATGTTAATATATATATAAATATGATCATCTACATAATTATAATATGAATCTTCTTTTAATAGGAATTAGAATAATTTTATTCAAACTTTCCATTAACCGTTTGGATATTTGATTGTTTTATTATCTACATTACTTATATACAAGTTAACTATTAATTTAATGACAAAATATATGATTTTCTTAGCATTGAAACTTTGATCAGAGTGAGTGTTATTTGAATACTTTTTTTTTTATTTTTTGTACAAGCGTTTTAGGTTATTTATAATAAATCATAATGTTAATAAACATATTTCTAACTATAATCTCTCTATAGAAATGACATATTAATATAATATATGTAATTGATTAAATTCCATTTAAAATCTTAATTTGATTGATCTTTAAATCAATCATTTTAATTATTCAATCTTGATATGTCATATCCAGTTAAAAACTCAGATATTGAGGGGCAACATATTGTTTAATAAGTTACTCCAGTCTAACTTAGCAAATTAAGACTATTTTTAGCTGTAATAATATAGAAAAATTAGTTAGGTTGTTTTATCAATAAGTTCTGCATTCATTTTTGCCTTAGCATTAAGATATTCAAGAAAATTATATAATGCTTTCTTGTTTACTTAATGTTAAGAAGAATCGATTGCCACACATTATTTAATAGAAACAGTTTCTGGTGAATAATTTGTATGTGCCAAAAAATTCATTGACAATAAACCATATTTCATGTTTAGGTATAAAAACTAACTATATGAGAATGCTTAAATACAGATTTAATGAATAACTTAAAAGTTATGAACCCATAGAATTTGATGCAAAAGAAAAAGTCATTTCTGAGATTATCAAATCAAGAAATACATTAACTAGAGAACTTAAAATTTAATATTTTGGAACTTGTTAACTTAAAATTCCAATAGAATCAATATTTATATATTCATTACATGCCTTTACAGGTCCATTTAATATATTATAATATTTTGCTGTTGCCATTTGGTTTGCTGAAAAAACAGTCCTCTAACCTATATTAATATTGATTTTTACAGTCCTTACTGTCTATTTGAATTACTTTCTATATGTTAGATCAAGAAGAAGATTATAATAATTAGCTAATATTCATTAAGATGTAACAATCAAAGAAATTGATTAATATTAAATTATCAATGGATCTGACCTTGTTCCAGGAGATCTAATCATTCTTAAAGAAAATCAAACATTAAATTGTGATTGTGCTATCATTTCTGGTGATGTTATAGTTAATGAAGCCACTTTAACAGGTGAAGGCATACCTATTCCAAAAAGTGCATTACCAAACTAAAATTCTATATTTGAACTTGAAAAAATGAGTTAACATTGTTTATTTGAGGGCACTAAATTAATACAAGTTAATAACACATAAGAAAATATTGCTATTGTACTTAGAACAGGTTTTACATCATTAAGAGGATAATATTTTAGAAATGTACTTTTTCCCGAGGCACCATCAATGAGATTCTATATTTAAGCAGCAAAATTCATTCTTGAAATAGCTTTAATTATAGCTATAATATACGGATTTCTATTGATTGAATATGTTCCTATGGAATTCTAAACAGGTATATTAGTTCTAAGATTTTTGGATAATATAGTTTGGTCTATTCCACCATCAATGCCTATATTTTTTTAAATTTGTAAGACAGCTAGTTTGGTTAGACTTGAAGCAAAAGGTGTAATTGGAAATAATGCAGATAAAGTAGAATCAGCAGGAAGGATTGATACTTGTTGTTTTGATAAAACTGGAACTCTTACAACACTTGGATTTAAAGCAATAAAAGCATTACCAGAAGAAGAGAAACCAATTTTAGATGCTATAATGGGATGTTGTCATCATTTAATAAAATTGAATGATTAATTATTAGGAGATCCATTAGAAATAGAAATGCTTAATTTTGTTGGTTGGTAATGTAATTTTAATAATAATCCTTTGACTATTGATGGAAATGGAAAAACATATACAATTCATAAAGTATTTGATTTTAGTTCATAAAAATCAATGATGAGTGTTATAGTAACAGATGGATCTAAATATTATTTATATTCAAAAGGTTCTCCAGAATCAATTAATTCTATTTCTGTAAAGAAGAGAGAAGATTTACTAAATGAATTTAATTAGAATGCTATAAAAGGATACAGAGTATTAGGATTAGCATATAAAGAATTATAATAAAATTAAATAGATTAATAAAGAGAGTAGATTGAGTAATAATTAAATTTTGTTGGTCTTTTAGTTATGGAAAATCCATTAAAATCAGATACAAATGAGATTATAACAACTTTAAAAGAAACTGGATTAGATATAAAAGTAATTTCAGGAGATAATCCATTAACAACTATCTAATGTGCGAAATTAGCTGGTATTTTGAATTAAGATAATGAAATTACATTTTTAGATTATAATTAATAGAATTAAGAAATAATTTTATAATGCAACAATAATTAATAAATAATAAAAGAATAATAATAAAATTGTGTTTAAGAATTAGAATAATTTATAAATACTTAATAAGAATTGGCTTTGACTGGTAAATTTTTGGAATATATGTATAATAAAGTTAATTTTTTATTTGAATAATAAGACCAATTTAAGAGTTCAGGAAAAGCTTAGAGTAAGGAAAAGATTTTTACAGAAATAAATTAAATTGATATTGATGATGGATCATTTGGATAATTAGCAATATTAATAATAAAGAAAAGTAAGGTTTTTGCAAGATAGAAACCAGAATAGAAGAAACTTATAATTTAAATGATTTAAAGTTTTGGAAGATAAGTGTTAATGTGTGGTGATGGAGCTAATGATTGTGTATTAAAATAAATTAATTAATTTAGTCAGCAATTTCATAAGCTTAAGTAGGAATATCATTTAGTGAAGCTGACGCATCTTATACAGCACCTTTTAGTAGTAAATCAACTTCATTAGATTGTGTTGTAAAGGTATTATTATAAGGTAAAGCAGCTACAATGACAATTATTGAAGTCTTCTAATATTAAATTAGTGTTAATACATTAAAATTTATTGCTGTTTTATTTACATTTTTAGAGGCAGAAACTTTTGCAGATTTTTAATTTACTTATACAAGCATTATATCAAACATTCCTTTATTGATATTCTTATGTTTATCTGGTCCATGTGATACTTTAGCTAAATATAATCCATTAGATGATCAATTTGCCATTTATAATTAAATTTAAATATATAATAATTTAATTTGGGGATCAGCTGGGTATCATATATATATATATTATTTTTATTAGATTAATTATTAACTTTTTTATATCTCAAGCAGTCAGAGATGTTCATACTTGTGAATTAGATGAACCTATACTTAATTGTATACCAAAACCTATTGAAGAATTAAAAAAGACTGGAGATATTTAATCTGTTATGTTTATGAGTTTAATGTTCTTCTTTATGACATTTGCAATCAATCTCTATATCTCTAATCCATTTAAATAAAGATACTATAGAAACTATTTATTACTCTTATGGACAACATTAGGATTTATTTTATTTTTTGTCTCAGCTATATTTCCAAATGGAGGAAAATGGGCTAAATTAATAAATGTTAATACTAATGCGTATCATTTCATTTTTATTATCTTTTAGTTTTAAAGGCTATAATTGGATCATGATAGCTGTTGTTGTTATTACCTCATTATTTGGATTCATTACGCAAGCTTTATTACAAAAGTATCTTCCTTCAAAAAAGAAAATAGAATTTTGATTTAATATATAAGAAAATAAAAAAAATATATATTTTTATATTATGATAGATACTCTCTTTAATAAATTAATAAAGTATATTCTAATTATTCAGTTTATTCTATGAGAACTTGCTCTAAATCAGATTATAGAATGACTAATCCAATCTCTTTATAAAACCTAGGCTAAATGTTTACATTAATATTTGTATTGCGATAGGATGATTCCAATTTAAGAGGTTTTCATAAAACATATAGTATTGACTCTTTATTTTTAAACTTGAATATGAGCAAGATTCCATTTTAAATTTTGATCAAGTTACCAAATACAAAATGTAAAATCATTACTACAAGTTGCTAATAATGAATCATTTTAGTTAAAACATAATGAATTAATTTTTGAAGTGTTTTACTTCAAAGATTATGTAAAAATCCAATTCATTTAATTTTCTTTGTATTTCCAACTTGAAATATTATATTCATCACCTCCAGTAATTAATACATCATTATTTTATCCAACAATCATACAATTAAGATTAAATTAATGAGCTTATATATTATGAGAAACAATATATTTTTCATCTAAATTCTTTTCCCAAACTTCAAAACATCCATTTTAATAACCAATTAAAATTTTACATTCATTTTTTGCTTTTATTAAACACGTCTTTGTAATTAATTTTTAAACCTGATTTTTATTTTAAAGAACATTTTTCACAATTAATTTATTGCCTTACAGTTAATATTTTCATATTTTATCCAAAATCTACTAAAATTTCGTTATCTTCATAATTTGTATCAATTAAATGCTGATTTTAGATTTTTAGATTTTATCTATATAATCCAATAGCTTAAATTTAACATTATCCCTCTTTATATTATTGTATTAAATTTTAATTACTTCAGAAATTTATAAAAAGGATTTTGAAGCTTCAATCGACCATTTAATTAATTCTGGTATTATAACATCTTCATTTATTAATTATTGATTTTAATAAAAACTATGAACAGCCTTTTATAAATCAGAAAGTCTAAGACTTGGTTCATTTTATATAGATAAATATGATCTACTTTCATATATTCCAAGCATTTTAGATTTAATTCTATTAATTTCTTAAATATTTTTATCTTTGAATTATTTAAAATTTCCATATTCAGCATTTTTATTTTTCATGTCGTTTAATACATTTTGAAGCATCTTTACTCCATTCATATTTCCATCTCTATTTATTGAAACACATTATTAACATAAAATTCTTTTTGGCTTATTCTTCATTAGAATCCCAACAAACAAAATGAACAAATTCATCTTCATGCTCTGGAAATTTTAATTCAAACTCTTACATTAAAATTAATTCAATATTTATATATAAGTTCAAAATTAATTCTATAAATTTATTATGTTGATTTTAAAATTATTTTCTTTAATTTCCTCATAAATTATCATAGATGAATTGCAATCTTTAATTAATGAATAATTGGCAATTTAAGGAGATATTAAATCATTTAGAATAACTTATTAGAATAACTTATTGTTAATATGAAGATTAATAAAATAATAATTTAATATGAAGAGTAAATCAATTCATCTAAAAAGTTAATTCTCACAATCCTCTAATCAAATAACTATTATATTAGTGAATTTTAATGTAATAATACTATTTAATTTAGAAAGCAATATGAGGACTTATATAAATATCCAAAACATTAAAATAATTACTTATATAATGCTATATTGTTTACTTTCACACATTATAAAAAATCATAAGAGTTTATTATTAATCTTAATCAGAAGATTCTTGAATTATATCCTTTTTTAATCTTCATTATGAATAAGCCAAAATATCTATTAAACTATTAAATTCCAGAGGGATATTTACAATATAAAAATATTATCATTATTAACATTGGAATGATCTTATATTAAAATCTAATTTAATTAGAAGAGAAAAAGAGCGATTAATAAAAAAATAAATATAATAATTATGAATCAATTTTGAAATCTATTTAAACTTTATATTGCAATCTCTAAATTAGACTAATCCTCCATCAATAAAGTTAGTTCCTCTGTTTAACAGACTATATGAATCTGTAATGATTCTGGTTTCGAATATACTAATTTTATGTCATCATACTTCAAATAAATTTAAATAAGGCTTTCATGTATGAAAAATATTTGTTATTCACAAATATACAATATTTAGGCTTCATTTTTCAAAATAGCATTATGCATACTAATTATTATAAATTTTAAATCTGAAAATTTAATGTTTTTATCACATTTCTTTGCTTATTTTAAAATTTCATAATGCTAAGCTTATTTTTCATTAAAGACTTTAAATAATTTCATTGGTTCATACATTGCTCTTTTTATTCTTATCTTTTTCCATTTAATCAATTTATTGGGATTAATCATAAGTTTATTTATTACATATTAACTAATCATACTACAACAAAACCCTTAATCAAACAGAATATATTTAATAATGACATTATGAATAATATTAGACAGTGAACTCCTAAAATATTCTTCAACAAATTATTACCTTTAAAATTCATAAATATCTTTTAGATATAATATTTTCATTTTCATTGGTTAAAATTATAATTTTCTTACAAATATCTAAGTTTATTTCATTTCACGAATCTTTTTTTGTAAATATTTTGGATTTTATTTTTCAAGAAGTTAATTGTTGTTTTTTTATGTAGAATATAAACTAATAAATTCTTATAATTATGCCTAAATTTGTTCTTATTTATCTTTAAATCTTTGATCCATACAAAATTGAAAATTACCCAAATTTATGTTTACCAAATCTACAAAAATACAATCTTATCTTGCTCCATCTAATCTGAGATCAAATTCTATTGAATTTTATTATTCTTAAACTTCAGAAAATAAAATAGTTTTTTATTCTGACAGAGTTTTGGATTAAGCGTCTATTTACAATTTGTATAAGTTAAAATTTATCTATTTTTAATTTAATTCATTTGATTTATATTATATAGCTATATTTTCTAAGAAACAAATCGCTAATTCTTTACATTAATATTTTAAATTTTCAAGGTATGAAATTGTACAACCATAGATTTGCATCCTAAGTTCAAAGATATATTTAATTTTTTCTAATTAGTACTAACTTTGGCTTAATTTTTGAAAATCTTTAAAAATAAATTATTTTTGTTAATCTACTTTAATGATAACATAATTATATTATAAACCATTTATTTTTAAAGTTCCACTTAACCCAATCTAATCTAATTTTAAAGCAAATTAAATCGAATTCTCCCATTTCATCCTTTGATCTTTTAAATTAACTAAATAAGTGAATTCTTAATCGGATTAATTTTCTTATGCTAATGGAAATCGACCTCCATTTGTTAAAATTTTATTATCTCTTTCTAATTTTATTTGTAAAGATTTAGATTCATTAATTATCATATATGGATAATCTTATTAATTTTCAATTTCATCAATTAAAAACTAATATTATCCTTTTTGATATAAAATAGTTACTTTTAAAAATTTTCTTAAACAAAGATCAATTGTTCTGATTAACATAATAAATTAATTATAAGTCATAATATTGAATTTTTCTGTCTCTAAGATCTAATTATCAATATTTATTTTTAAAGAACATTCATATGGTAGATTAGGATCATTGATAAGATTTAAATTCCAAATTTGTAATGGTGTTTAAACAAAAGGTTCCAGTAAAATTATGGTATTTTTGTAACAAAGTTGAATTTTCTAAGCTAATCTATTTAAGACTAAGTATTTATAGCCCAATTCAAAAAATGGAATAGTGCAATCACCCATTTAAATAAAGTTTTTCATAATCAAAATTGGAATATAATAAGTTTGATCATTTTCTTTTTTTTAAATGTTTATAGTGTGTATTTTTATGATTTTTTCTAATATTAAAGGTTATGTTTTTAAATTTGAATTTCTTTCTTCAAAAATCAATTAATGGTTTTTTTTAATTGTTAAAAGCACAATCAATTAATAAGAAGTGGAATATTTTTATCCTCCTAAAATTTAAAAATTCTATTCAGTTCCTTGATAAGTTACTAAATCTAATTTAGTATTATTGATTAAGTAAGATTACTTAAACGAAATAATAATTTGTTGTCTTCCTTAATCATCCACTTTTGGTTAGATCAATAATATTAAATTTAAATTCTTTTTATCATAGTTTAAGTACCATTTTTCATCTTCCAAACATATTTCATTTTTTTTCATCAAATCTTAAAATGTATATTCAATCGATTAATAATATCTATCAACAGTAAAAAAAAATTTGTTATTTTTATAAGGATTTAATTAACAATCCTATACTATTTCATTCTATGCAATAGTGAAATTAAGAAATTATTTATCTTCAGGACAATTTTTATCTATTCTAATTTTAAAAGGGGTTTGATTGATGAATTCTACAAAAGGAACAATAGAAATCATTGATCTTTCCTTCATTAAAGGATCATGTACACATTGTAATCTAAAAAATCTGTTATTTAGACTTAATATCTCTGAATTATTTTTTTATTCTAATTTTAAAGCAATATCAGAATAATTGAAATATTCAGATGATATATTTTTTTCTTAGACACAGAATTTGCCTTTTTATTAATGACTTGAAATAAAAAAAATGTTAGGGTATTTTTGAAATTTTTAAAATTATTAAAATCTATCTTATTAATCTAAATTTATAATTTCTTAACCAGAAATGTTTATTTATAATGGAAATGGAGTCAAATTAATTATTAACATATTGCTACTAATTATTGTTTTTGAAGAATTCATAAATTCATCTACAATTGTTTCAATAATTAAAGTTATACCTTTTTCTGATATGACTTTTTTTTTCTATAATTACAAATTCCAATTTTAAATTTTAAGAGTAGTGTTAATTCCATTTACATCAAATTAGAAAAGACCTTTACATGTAGTGTGAATTTTCTATAAATTTGATAATTTTATAATTTATTAATCTTTGCCTTCTGCTACAATTTATAAACCACTAAAATTACATATTTCATAAGTTTCGTATGTAATTATTTACGCACTATTTTAATTTATCTGCTAATTATCTAATTTCTTTTAATTATATTAAAATTATTAGTTTAATAACTAAAATTTCAATAAATTCTAAATTAATTCCATTGATATATTAATATTACAGACATCTTGTATTTAAAAACTAAGAATGATCTTGGGGTTTTGATTAGAAATTGTTAAAATGAATTATAAATAAATGGATTCAATAACTGGTTCCCATTCAAGTTTAAAAGAATGATAAAAATATAATTCTAATATATTTTTAATCTAAAAATCGATATCATTTTAATTTAATTTTAATGTTAAAATTGGTTACTTTAAAGTAATACCAAACATTGGTTATGATTATTAGTATAAATCATCAATAAATACTAATTGTATTTAGGCTTAAACACCAATATTCAATTAATAAATCTATGCTCTCTATTAGATAAGATATTTGGCTATATCATGAGAATTATAGAAATCAGCTATTTATTTTGATAGCTTTTCTATTTCTTTTGAAATGTAAGAGATATCTTTAGCACCCAAAATAAATTTTAATTGAGTCATCCTAAAATTCATTAAGTGATTAATCACATTTGTTTAAATTACAAGTTACCAATTAAAAATTATATCACAGACTGATAAAAGAACTTTTTTGGAACTTCTTTTTTTTAATTTGCTTATTTAAAGTGTTTATAATTAAGTCATTATTGCCTAAGCTTCTTTGAGTTTAATATCTATTGTCATCTCTTTTTAATTCTAAACTTTTAATATTCCTTAAGGAATACATTTAAACTATAAACAATCTTCATCAAAAGAATCTTGAGGAAACATAATTTATATATAATTCTATGTCCATTTAATTTATTTAAGTTCACTTTGCTTGAATAAAATTTATTTTAAATTAATTTCGATATTCATATCATTACAAATAATCTGAAGATCAGGGTATTATGTTAAATAAAAATTAATTATGAATTTTTTTAGATTCCAATCTTTCTGAATTTAAATAGGATATTATTCTAAAATTTGACCTATTGTTTTAGCTCTATAACTTAAAACACAATAATGAAGATAAAGTTTAACAGTTGAATCTTCATTTAATTTCTGAGAATACTCAATTATGTTTCTGGATTGTTAATCATTTTAAATTTCCAAAAGATTTTTATCTTAAAAATAAAAGCTTTAACAATTAAAATCTCTAGTAACTGTAAAATAACTGAATTTTAATGTTATATTTTATTATAATTTAGTAATCTAATTTATAACATTTAAATTAGTGAGATGAATATTTAGAAGTGGTTAATTTTCATTTTCTAAAACTTTAATAAAAATGCTTTTTAATTTAATTTCAAAAAAAAATAACTTTTCTTAATATTTTTCTAATTTTTTTATATTATCTACAAAATAGATTGAATTTGTTCCATTCTCTTACAAAATATTTTCTACATAGTAATTATCATCACGAGATATTTAACATTAATTGATTACTATTTATCTATCTTCATTTGTTTAAAAATCTAACCATATTATTTAATTTTTTGTTTTTAATTCTAAAATATGAAATTCATTTTTTAAGGATGTTTTATAAAATATATTTTCTAAATCAATTTTCATAATTTTAACATCTTTTTCAACTTCATACAAATTTAAGAAATTTTATTAAAATGCGAATCTGCATTTAATTTTATTATTGATAGAGGAAGTATGAAAAAAACAAAATTTATGATGATTCTCTTCATTATTTCTAAGTTGATTTTTTAATTCCTTTAATGGTTATTGATAATGAGTTTCAAAGAATTAATAAAAGTATTTATAAATCATAGGATTAATTTAAAAATTTAAATCATTCAACTCTAATATAGAATTGATCTGATTATCTTAAACCTTAATTACAAGATTGATGTCACATTTTGTTATTTCAATAAAATCTCTAGAAAAATTTATACTGTTAAATAAATATTCTTGATTAATTAAATCAATACAAGAAAAACCAAAAGTAGTGTCAGATATTTTAATCTGATATTATGATGAGTTTAATGTATTATAATTAAAATCAATAGATCCTGGACTGAATAGAAAGGTTTCCTTACTATTTGTAGAAATTATATATATTTTCTCAAATTTAAAATTTATATCCTTTTCTTTTTAATCATTAACAATGTCTTAAATTTATTCTTTAGCTTTTCTAGTTAATTTAGGTATTTGATTTTCTGAAACAACAAAAAAATAAAACAAATCATAATATTTTTCAAATTCTTCTTGATTAAACAAAATTTAAAAGGGACATGTTTAAATAAGTAGACTTTCCTTTTTATCATCATTAGTATGATATAATTCTAAACTATATCTATCATGAAAATTAGTATTTTTTGAAATCAAATAATTAGTTTTATCTTGGTATTATAAAAGTACTTCTACTTATTTGATAGTGAAATCTAATTTCAATTAATTATTTTTAATAATTAACATACTTAAATTTTAAAAATTGATAATCAATTGATTCAATTATCCTCTGTATATAGAAGATAAGCCTATTTAACATTAATTTATAGCTAATTCAAATTTAAGTTAAAGACTTTTTAGATATTATTTTTACAAATTAGGATCCTACTCTAAGACATCTAATTTATTGACAATTTTTTCTTCCATATTTTTATCATTTTTCAATATTCCCCTTAACCATCCTAAATTCTTTTTACTCATTAAAACTATTTCATCACCTTTATAATTTTTTAAAATTTCAAATTGTATTTATTTTAGATCATTAATAGATTAAGTTTCTGCAAGTTAACACAGATAATCATAAGATTAAGATTCCATTGAAAATTCCGAGAGAGGAATACTGGTTAAGATTTTTTTAATTTCAGCTTTCACTTTTTCATCATCTTCATTATTTGTACTCTTTTCAACTTATTAATTTTATCTTTTATTAAATTGTGAGATATAATCAGAAAATTTATATATTGATTAACTTTGGAGTTTGGAACAGTTAAACATGAATTTGTGAAATACAACTCGTAATATAAAGGAGAGTGTATCAGAGTTTTATTCTGCTATATCTTCAAGTGAAGCTTATGCGTTAATCTAAGTAACAGGATCTTACCAAAATAATTAAAGATTTCTGATATCAATATTCCTTAATTTTGATTGTTGAGAATTAGATGAGGACTTACATGTTAAATTTTCTAATTTTATACCAAAAGAGTTCTAAGTACAATAATTATCAACAATTCTAATATTAAAATTAGTTAATTCTATTTCCATGTTTTGAATTAACTTAAAGATATACTTTTTATTAGTTTACTTTTGTTAATTATCTTAATTTGATATAGCTTTTAAAAGAGTTTATACTAAAGAATTTTTAAAGTTATCGAGGATTTGTAATTTAATAGCACTTTCCATAATAAAATTTCCATATAAATTGAGTATTTCTATTACAATATTAAGTGTATGAATTTTGATTTAACATTATTTTCCGAAAGTTATACTAATATTATTGATCATGCTCTGTTTAATTATTAAAGGCATATTAAATTTTTTAAAAATGAAGGGTTTGAATTCCATATTATTTAATTGGATCTATCCTTTAGATAATTAAGTAGTAATTTGATCTTTTGAAATGTTATCAAAATATTCAAAAATATAGGTATTAATGTGATCTGTGAAATAGGATTTTAAAAATTACATGATAATAAATAATATTAAAGAGTATAAAAGAGTATAAGCTGAATAGATAAATTAATTAATAAATATAAATATATAAAAAATCTGATATATTTCTTAGATGGCAGGAAAAGAGGCAACATTAGTATTATTAGATGTAGGTGCATCGATGTATGAACCTTACAAATAAGTTTAAGGAAAAGAGATAAGAAGAATAGAATTAGCTATTGATTGTATAGGGATGATGATTTAATAAAAGATTTTTAATTATAAAAATCATGAAGTGGGATTAGTTTTATTTGGAACAGAGGATGCTGAAGATGGGAATACTTTTTACATATAAACATTATCACCTCCAGATTTAGAATTTTATAGAAATGTAACAGAATTACCAAAGCATGATATTCCTAAAATAAAAGGTGGGGATATATTTGACGCATTAGATAAATCAGTTAGTACATTAGATGATCATGTAAAGACAAAGAAAATGGATAAAAAGATCTTTGTTTTAACAGCAGGTTTTGGATAGACAGAATATAATGAGAAAAAGATTGGAAAACTAATAAAGATGATTGAAAAAGTAGATGTGAAAATAAATTTCATAGCATTAGATTTTATGAATGAATATGATGTTGAATTAGATGATCCTACGAAACCAGAAAATTAAGAAATATTAAATAATAGAATGTTAAATTCAATTTATGAGAGTAAAGAATAATAAATAAATTAAAATTTAATATATTATATGGTTTAAGAATTAAGAAATCATATGAGAATATTTCCAGCAAATATTGCATTTGAATTATATTCATAATTTCATACAAAATAGATGTAAGCAAGAGCATCTTTTAGAGGAGATTTTTAGATAAATGATTAAACATTTCTATAGGTATTAATATATAAGAGATGTGCAGAAGAGAAATTACCAAGTTTAAAGAAACATTCAGCAATAGGAGAATTTAGTAGTGAATAAAATAGAAACATAGTTAGAAATGATACAATTCATTATAATCCTGAAGATCCAAATATGGCACCTATAGAAAGAGAAAATATTATTAAAGGTTATTAATATGGAAGAAGTTTAATACCAGTTGATAGCATAATGGAAGATAAAATGAAATATTAATGTTCAAGAACATTTTAATTATTAGGATTTGTAGAGAGATCATAAATTCCTAGACATTATTTTATATCAAATGTAGATATGGTAGTAGCTGTGGATAGTGAATAATCTAAGAAATGTTTATCTGCATTAATAATAGCATTAATTGCAACTAAGAAAGTAGCAATAGCTAGATTTGTAGGTAGAGAAAAAGGATCTCCGAAAATGGTTGTTTTATTACCACATAAATCAAAAAGTTATTAATGTTTTTGGATGATTACTTTACCTACTTCTGAAGATATAAGACATTTTCAATTTTCTGCTTTAAGAAAGTCTACTCCTAATTAATAAATTGCTGTTGCTTCATTAATTGATAAAATGGATTTAGAAACAATTCCTAATTAATCTGGAGAACCAGAAGAATTACTTAAAATGAAATATGTTGCTAATCCTACTAGATAATATTTTTAATAAGTAGTTATGCATAAAGCTATTACTAGAACTGATGTAATACCACCTATTTCACCATTAATTCTAGAATATTTACATCCTGAATCAAGAATTTATAATTATGCTTAAGATGCTATCAAAAGAGTTAAAAATGCATTTAAATTTAAAGTTAATGAAATTAAAAAACCATAAGATAAAAAAGTATTTTGGAAATAATTATTTGATGAATAAACTACTTAATAAGTTTAACAATAAATAGAAGAAGAAGTTGTAGAAATTAATAGAGAAGAAGAAGAAATGGTTAATATGTTTGCTAAATAAAAATTAGGATTCAAAGATGACATTATTTAAGAAATAGGTTCAGTAGATCCTATCTCAGATTTCAAAAAAATGATTACTGAAAAAAGAGTAGATTAAGTTGATTCTGCACTTCAATAAATGTAAAAAGTGATCATTGGATTAGTTGATTAATCTGTTAAAGGAAGTTTCTTTCCTAAAGCTTTAGAATGTTTAAAAGAAATGAGAAAAGCTTGTATTTCAGAAGATGAAGTTCCTGTATTCAATAAATTCCTCTTTGTACTTAAAGACAAATATAATTAATAAGTCTTTTGGGCATAAATTGTACAATAAGGAATTACATTAATAAGTAATATTGAAAATTAAAAATCATCAGTTACTGCTGATGAAGCTTAAGATGTAATTTATATTATTTTTTAATATTTTTAGTTTCTAAATAAAGAAGATAATAAACATTAATAAATGGTTGATCAATTATAAAATGAAGAAGAAGATTTGTTAGCTGATATTGAATGATTATATTATAATATATTATAACATTAAATTTAAAGTCATTTCTTTATTATATCAATATTATTATTCCAATTGTTATCTTAATCCAGGTAATTAATTGAATAATTATAATTTAAAATTAGGCAGTCGGTTCATTCCACAACCTTATTTCTATTATATTATAAATTTTGGATTTATTTATGATATTGGCATTTAACTATGTATCTCATATGGTACTTCATTTTCCTAATAGTGCAATATCTTATAACCAAGACGTGATTCTTTTTAAGATGTCAATAAATGTCTCCTTCTATTTCCAGTTCTTCCAAATCCTATGCTACTTCTACATGTTTAATTGGGATTTCTTATTGATCTACTCTCCTCAGGAACATCCAATAATAACATTGGCTTTGAAAAATGTAAAATATTCATTTATTGCTTTTTATCATTCTATATGTAATTTATTCTCTTCTTCTCTGTATCAACTGTCTTTGGTTTTATTTGTCTATACAATTTTACTATTGCATTTGGTTTTATGAAAAAATTTGAATCATTTTGTAAAAACATTATTTTTAGATGAATTATTAAATTAAAGGCAATTTAATTATTATCTTGATTGATATCCTTTCATCTTAATTAAATGAAACATTTAATATTACTATTAATGTATTCACTAAACCAAAAACAACAAATTTAGAAATTTTATTCTTTAAAATTTCTGACACTGAACTGCATTCAAAATTCAAAATTACGACAATATTTATCAATAAATTTTATATGATATTTATTTTTACTAAATTAATCATTTGAATATGAATTCGAAATAATATAAGCAAGGTATTTAAATTTCGAATTTTTTCAGGTTAAAAATCAAACCTTTCAATTATTATATCAATAAGATTTGGTTAACTTTGTTCTTTTTTCACTTTAACTATTTTTATAAATCTCGTAATACCATGTAATAAGTATTACAACAACAAAAAAATTATATTTTCTAATTAAGAAATTGATTCCCAATAGAACTAATTTTAAGTGCATTTTGTAAATTCAATATTCAAATTTAAAAGTAAGAAAGAATAATCATACAATATTCTTTCCGATTCTATTTGTGCTATAAATGTCTATGCAAGTCTAAGAAAGCTTTAAAAGAAACTTCTGATTTAGAAGATACACATATCTATTAAAAAAAAGAAAGTTTATAAAATTTTAATAAAAGGTTTAAAACATAATCTTTAAGAGTTTTTTAATCATAAGATAAGAACCATTATATATACAAGATCTTAGGATCTATAAAGAGGAGATGAACATGAAGTTAAATAATAACATAAAGATATAAAAATTGATAAATTTATTAATGATAATATTGAAATTTTTAAATTGCCATAAAAAGAACAATTTGTTTGCTAAAAATATCAAATTATTTATTATAGTTAAATAAGTATGATCTCATTATTACAAAAAAAGAAAGTCTAAACTTATATTATTTCCTAAAAATTCTGAAACTCAATTAAAATAAATAATGGTATAAGGGCAGTTTTAAATTAGAATTATAACAAGTAATTTTTAAATACTTAAATAAAATGAATGATATAATCTTTCTAAGCATCATAAACAAAGGCAAATCCTTTAAAAAAAAAATCAGAAAGAATTATTTCATATCGAAAATGAATATCTAAAATAATATTTTATGAATATATATTTGATAGATACAAAACAATAATTAAATTTAAATATTATTTTTTTAGATATAAACAGCTAGCATAAATATTTTATAATAAGAAATAAGAGTAGGTTTTAGAATGAAAAAAAAAATGATTAAATTTTGGAGTATATTAATATTTTTCTCTTAATCAAATAGTCTTAGTAAGAAATTTAGAGCTATAATAACTGTTTAGAAGTTAAGTAAAAACGTATTAAATTTTTATTGAAAGCTCAAATTAATAAAAAGAATAGTTTTATACATATTAATTATTTAGTAATATCTAAAAGAAATCTTGATTTTATCAAAGAAAATAATAAAATATGTATGATTTGCTATGTAAGATATTAATTATTATAGTAATGATTGATAAATTTATTGAAATAAGAATGAAATTAAAACTCATTTCAATTATATAATCTAATATTAATGATTATTAGCTATTTCGTCTAACTTTTTTAATAAATCCTTTTGATAATCTTATGATACTCTTTTAGGAAAAGATATTTAAATTTAGTTTTACTCTAGATCTGAATATATTTTAAATGAATTATCACTCTAATTTATAAGATTTTCTTGATTTGTGTTTATATTTTCATTTATGCTCCAAAAATCTTATTATTAGGATTCTTTATATAATTATTCAGTGTTATTGCTTGATAATTATTCATCTTATGTTTAATAAATAGAGAATGCTTTACAACTTTATGATTTGAACTCAGATTTTACTTTTTCATAATTTTATATTAACTCTTCTTTACTTAAAATTTGATTTTTAAGTTGTTTAAATTAAGACAGGTATTATCTTATGTGTTATTATTATTTAGAAAACAAATTTTGAATATCTTTAATTAAATTATTTTTTTTTGTTTTTGCAATTGTGATTAACAATTATAAAAGTTTTTCTGTGTAATAAATTGAATTTCTAAGAAAATAGTATTATTTATGGTCTTCATCAAATTCTGAGATCAAGGTTAATTGGTCATTGTCTTCTATTAATTTGATATGTATTTAATCATCAGAATTATGTTTTCTCATAATTTAATATATGTATTAATGAACAAGAAAATGATATAAATAAAATCAATTATCAATTTTTTTAAAACTTTTCTTACTTTTCTTATTTTAGAATTTTGATTAAGTTGTTTTAGGTTAAGTAGAATTATCTTAAGAATCTTCATTTTATAGAAGACCTTTCTAGGTAAGCATTTCAGTTTTTCTAACTTCCATTTCAGCAACTTCTTCTTTAATAACTTTTCTAATTTAAGGTTCTAATAATTATATTTATCTTCTTATTTATTTAACTTTATCAGTATCTGCAATCATCTTAAATAATTATTATTTAGATTATCGAATCATTTTTTTAAATTTAACAACTTCATTTTCTAAACAAATAGTAACAGATATGCCTTATGCTCCAATTCTAGCAGTTCTACCAACTCTATGTATATATCTGGTAACTTCAAATGGAATTTCATAATTAATAACAGCTTTAACATCTGTCATATCTAATCCTCTTGCAGCTAAATCTGTTGCTAATAAAAATTAAAACTTTCCTTCCTCATATTTATATAAATATATTACTTTAAAATCTTCATATGCTTAAATTCTCTATTATTATGATAAATTTCCATGTAATTCACAACTACTCATATCTAAAAATCCTAATATTATAGCTAATCTATGACAATCATGCTTTGTTTTTACAAAAATAATTGTCTTTTCTTTAAATTTTGTTTTTAATAAAGTAATAAGACTAATTATTAAAATGTAATTTATTACGTAGCTTCTCTATCTCTATCTTAATTAGATCTTATTCTTAACAGATATTATTTCAATCCATAAGCTAAACCACCTACAAAATCTACATTAATTTTTGTAGGATTATTTAAAGCTAATAAAGATAATTATTTAACAGTTGCATTAAGAGTAGCACTGATTAAAACAGTTTATCTATCTTTAGGAGATGCTAATAATATTTATTTTATTTCATTTTCAAAACCCATTTCCATTAATCTATCAGCTTCATCAAAAACCAAAATTTCAATACTAAACATCATATTAAAATAACATACTTTTATATTTCAATGCTTGATGAATTTGTTAATAAATCAACTATCCTACCTGGAGTTCCAATAATTATATCAGGATATTTTCTTAATTCAACTTCTTATTATTATATTGGAACAGCTCCAATAACAAGAGCAGCTGTACAATTAGCATATTTATTTAACTTCTCAAACATTTCAAAACATTAAAGAGCAAGTTCTCTTGTTGGTAAAATTATTAAAGCTTTAGAATACTATTAACTTTTTAAATTACCAAAACGTTACATTATTGGTAATAAAAAAGCTGCTGTCTTACCTGATCCTGTACAAGAACTAGCTAAAACATCATTTCCTTTCAGTATTATTGGAATAATTTTAGCTTAAACATTTGTAGGATGTAGATATCCTTAATCATGACAAGCTAATACTAATGCTTTATTTAATTTTAATTCATGAAATTCTATATCTATTGCAAATATTTTTGGATCTAATGATTATTCTTATTCTTCATTCTTTTATTATTCTTCTTCTACTTATTCCTCCATTTCATTTAATTCTTCATTTTACTTTCTTATTTTTAAAGCAACTTTATTTAATTTTGATTTTATTTTTTAATTTAAGGTGGATTACTTACTAAACGATTATTTAGTTTACTCTATTACTTTATCCTTTATTGTTTAAATTTATTCAGGTTTCTTCACAACTTCATCATTTATATCAAACAATCCTGAATAGAAATTGATATCTCCTCTCTCATTTTATTAAACAAACTCTTCAGAATCTGATTATATTTATGAGTGGCTCATTTATTTTAATAATTAATAATGATATTAAATTATTGTATATATCTATAATATTAATCATTTATTTGTATAAAATATTGTCTTATCAAAAAATGATATTCGATTTATGATTAGATTTTTCAATTATTTTTTTTTATTAATCCAACTCTGTTAATTACTTTTCTTATTCCATTATTTCAACTAATAAATCATTGGCTTATTTTTAGAGATGTAATAATTAAATATTCATTTCTTCTTTCTTTGCCAATTATAAATTCAATTTTTCTCTAATTGATTCCTCATCTTTTTAATTAAGCAGACTAGAATTTTCACTTATTTAATTTATCACTTAATTTTATCTTTCTCTAGTTTCTTAAATTTTTTATTTAAGTAAATTAATTTTTTTTTATTTTTTTTCTGGAAATTCTTCATTTTATAATTATGAAAAGTCATACTTTTTTTCTGTACTTTTTAATGATTTCTACTATTATCTATTTTCTTCTAATTTGGATTCTGTAAATGTACTATTAAATATTTCTAAAATAGTAATTCTATCTTTAAAATCTGTTGATAATGAAGTTAATTTTTTTTCAATTTCTTACTAGATATCAATAATTCCTTCTTCTAATTTCATAAAACTTCTTTTTTCTTATAAATCTTAAATTTATTTATTTAATAACAATCTTGTAGATATTAATTCACCGATATAAGTATTATTATTAGATATTTCTACTTTATGTTTTTCAATAGTTTCTTTATTTTCTTTAATAGATTATAATGATTCATTTTATTATTCAATAGTTTATTTAAGACAGAATTATTCTCCCTCAATTCTAGGTATTTATTACATTTAAATTTTACAGAAATCCTAACGTGATTTACTATCATAATTAAGATATGAAATAACACTTTCTCTCTCATCACTTAAATGGAATGTTCCACTAGATTTCAATTTTAATTCACTTTTTAAATCCATATTATCATTATTAATTTAAGTTAATTGTTATTTTATATTATTTAGCATTTGATTTAAATTAGATTCTTCATTTTAATATATTTCAATATTACTTACTTTTTTAATTATTTTAGTATCTGGTACAATATTAATTTTAACATTATCTTATATTTTCTTTTTAACAGACAATCTATGTTAAATGATTTATTCTTCAACATCAATAGATTAGATTGGTTATTATAATTATTATTATTAATCTTCTTAAGATTATTATTCAACTTAAGTATTTTCTATATCATCTTCTAAGATAGATATAATATTGATTTTATCATTTGGTCTTTGTATTCCCTAGATCCACCAATGCTCTTTTATTTCAGAAACAGATGCTCGTTTTTAAGGATTTCCTTGAAAAATTGATAACAATAAATCTTAAACCCCATCACTTAAATGGGTTAATGAAATAATAGAATTAACAATATTATGTTATAAGACATCTTATTTCTTTTTACCTTTCAATTGTTCTTATTTAGGTTCAAATGGTAATTTGCCTGTAAGCATTTAATATAGTACAACTCCAAAACTCCATATGTCTAAAGCTTAAGTTTAAGGTTAAAGATTATATTGTTCTGGACCAAAATAATCATTACCATTAAAAATGCCTTCACCATGTTACATATATGAGCTAAAACCGAAATCACATAATTTAATGGATATTTATTTCTTTTCATCTGACATAGACAAGAATAAATACTTTTTCTGATGAGTATATTCTCAAGTTTGAAATTTCTATGTACAACATTATTTTTATGTAAGAATTCTAAAATATCTATCATTTATTTAGCATAAAACAAAGTTTCTTATTCTGATAACTTTTTATCCTTCAATATTTTTTATTACATATTTCCATTATTGATATATTCCATTACTAAATATATAGCCTATGTAACATTATTTATATTAATTACTTCTTTATCTTCAAAATGATTTATTAGACGAGTAGTGTATTGATTATCAGCTAAGATATTCATTATTTCTATTTCTTTAGCAATATTTGGAGAAATCCTCTATCTTGTCAATGTTTTTTTTATGTATTTCTTTATGGCATATAGTTTATTTTCTTTTCTTAATTTAGCAGAAAATACCTTTCATTTTAAAGTATAGTTTACTTGTGAATATTGCCCACAAGCAATAACTTTCATATCTTTAAAATCATTCATTTTTTAATTATTAATATTTTTTAAAGTAAAAGTGATTTGATTTTTGAGAAATGTTTCAAAGAGACAGAATCTAATTATTTAAACAAATTTAATACCAGAATTTGTAACTGAGTTTTATTTATTAATATGATAGAAATCTACTATGTCATTTGAATAAATAAATTGAATGGTATATATTGAAAATTTAAATGAATTAGAAAGATATCATTATAAAACATGAAAATTAAAGTTATTCATATGCATTATCTTAGGTATTATCAACATTGAAAGTATAAACAATAATTTAAATTAATTAGGGATCAACAGCAAATTTAAAATAAAGTAAATATTGAAGGTGCGAAATTAAAATAGTTCTTATTAATAATAATATATATAGAGATACAATAGAGATAATCTAAAATTAAGTATAATAATTTGGGGGTATTTATATTATAGATTAATAATTAGAATATCTTACTTAATTTGATATACTTTATGAATTAATCTTAGATAATTCTACAAAGTGATATTAAAGGAAGTGTCAATCAAGATATTCTAATAAATTTAGTTAAAAATGATGAATTATATTTAGAATAGATAATAGGGATGAATCAAGAATTTTGAATTGTTAATATCTCTTTTATATTTTATAATTATAGAAACATAAATGAATAGTAAATTGTAAATATAAGTGAACTTAAATTATAATGAACATGATGATTTGATCAGATAAAATGATTATGAAATATGGAAATAATACAATAAGATTTGATTAGTATGAAATTCTACAATAATAATCTATATAAATAATAAAATTTAATACAGAAAATAGATGATAACATTGTATAAATTACAAAATTAATATAGAAGATGATATGAATTATTATATAAATATACTTTTGATTATATGAGAGATAGTCGAGATAGAAGCAATACTTAGGTTGATTATAGTGGATATGAAGACATTTTGAAAAAATACAGGAACCAACCTTAGAATTCTGTAACATCAACTTAGTTAGAATCTATATAAGAAGATGAGGTTCCATCCAATTTTTCAATTGATGAAATGGAGAAAGATACTCAAAAAAATTAGCATCTTAGAAAATCTAATGACATTGATTTTGTTAATTAGAATGATTGTAATCATATATCTTTATTTAGCAATCTTTTAATGTATTCTTAGTGATGATAAATTAAAAGAAATAAAATAAGGAAAAAATGAATGTTGTATATGTCATAAAAGTGGATCACTTATTCATAAGTTAAAACAATGTAATTTTTGTGGAAATGTCATATGTAAAGAACATGGAAGAAAGAAAAGAAAAGATCCTAACAATAGTACAAAATTTAAGAGATTATGTGATATTTGTGAAGATAAATATATTAGATTGAGTGTTGAAACTACTTTCAAATAAAAAAGAGATTATTTAGCTCAATAAGCATAAGACTTAGATTCCTAGTCACAAAAACTATTAAATGATATCAGAATATTATAAATTTAAGTTTCTGATATATAATAAAAAAGTGTCAAATAATAAGGTGAATACAAACAAATATAAAATGAACTCATCTTTAAGATTTAAAAATTAGATAATGAAACTAAAGCTTATTAAGAAGAAAATTTAAAATTGAAATCAACTATATCATCTATCTAAAAAGAATTATAATTATTAAATGATAAACTCAATGAAAAAAATTTAGATGCTCTAAAGAGATAGTCTTTATTAAATCAAATTGATCAAGAAATACAATCAAATGATATTGAATGTTAAAAACAAATGATAGAAATTGAAAAGTTATAATTGGATATTCAATCTAAAAAATAAAAAGATTAATAACAAAGATCATAAAAGAAAGTTTAACTTCAAAAATAAGAAATAAATAATTATTAACAATATATTTTAACTGATGAATAACCAACTATTCAATAATTTAATCCTTATTCAAATGATGATAACAATTTAAATATCAATAACAATTAAAATACTGAACATGAAACTCAAAATTCAAAAAAGAAATCTAAAGAAGCATCTTAAGATAGAGAAGAAGATAATTGTTGTATAATAATGTGATTATTATATAAAGAATTAAATTAAAATAATAAAAATAGTCAATCATTTTTAATATTTAAGAAATCATAAACTTTCTCTATTATATTAATATCCTAAAATATGTATTAAATATTAGTAAGTACATATTCAATAGGTTTACCACTAATTTTCTATAAATTTATTATAATATTTACATATCTAAATAATTTAGTTAATTCATCAGATTAAGAATTAGCCATATGTAAAATACATGAAATGGTATTCTACATTACTTCTACCAATTCATACTATTTCATCAAATGTCCTAACATATAAACATAATCTGTTTTAGTTAAGAGATAATGATACAATCTTTCATTAGAATATTTTCTAACTAATTATTTTAACATTTAACTAATGTAAATGAAATCATTTTTTTCAAGTTCTTATTCATCTAGTGCTAAAATAGTATTAAAAATTTCAGATGTAACAATTTCAGTTATTACATAATCATTTTTAAGAAAACAAATATTAGCTGTTATATAAGTAAAAGCAGTTTGATTTTCTCTCATCTCAAAAAATAAATTACTCAATATCTTTAACAATTAATGTTATAAGAATAATATCGTTCCTTCATCTGATTCTTCAACTATTTTAGTAATTATTGAAATTGCAGTCAAATTTTTCTTCTCCAATTAATCCAATATTAAATTTATGAATTTATCATTTGTAAGTAAATAATTAATAGAATTCTTATTATCTTTTTCACATGAAATCATAGCTAAGATAATTTAAAATGTTGATAGTTCTCTGTCCTATTCAATAAATTTAATGCATGTCATCACTAACTTTTTAAACTAATCATTTTAATAAATCATTACATATTACGATGGTTAATTTATATAAGTTCCAAGTAGTTCAACTATTTGGAACCATTATTCAAAATTATCTAATAAGAGTGAGATTTCTACCAAATAAGAAACAAAATCACATTATTCTATCAAGTGATTTACTAGATTGTTTTATGCTATTTTATATAAGAGCACTACAAATTATTAAACTAAATCACTATTTTCAAATCTCTAAACTTAAGATAACAAATATGGATTTAAACATTCTGGTAAGTATATCTTTTAATAGATATTTAGAACTATAGCTAAAATATGTTAATCACAACTCGTTGCAATCTCACCTAGAAATGTAATAGTGTTAATTGATTTAAGATTGGCACTATATTATGACTAAGCATATTCATTTATTCTTATTAAGTAATTCTCAGATTCTTAGATGTCTCCTCGATTGTAAAACTCTAGTGCATACTATGCTAACAATTCAAGGTCCTTGAAATCATTCACAACATCCAAACCTTATTTTGAACAAAAATTGCGCGTTTCTATTAAAATGTGTTTTCAGTTCGTTTTCGACGAATTTCAACATGGAATTTATTTCTTTTCTCTTATAGTAAAGATAAAGCTGAATCGGCTGTCAAATACATCCCAAAACCACTAAAATTATTATTTTTAATATTATAAATTAATCAACATATAATCATATTCATTTATAACATTATGCTTTGAGTTTACTTCATTTATTTATTCATTTTCTATCCACTTTATAATTTTGAATTTAATTTTTTTAGAGTTGTTTATATATATTTTTATTTTATTATCTTTTTTTTTTATTATTACTCTTTCTCTCTATTTTCATATCCTATTTGATTTTATTATTTAATTTCAATTAATTCCGTCTCTAGATTACTTATTATTTATTATGTGTAAACTATTTCAAATTCTATTTCAATAATTTTTATGTTGATTCTAAATAGTTTTTTATTAAACCAATTCTAAATTCTTGCTACAAATCTCTATTACTTACTTTTAAAATTTTATAATCTTTTCTTTCTAATTAAATTAATTGAAAAATAATCCAAAATTCTTTTTTATATAAAAATTATATTTTAAAATAATTAGATATATTTTTATCTGAATAGCTTTAAATGATCTAATCCATTTTTTTATTTATCTTGATTTTATTATTCTTTAAAATTTGTTAGTTAAAGAAAAGATCTTTTAATAATGATAACTTATAAATTTTTATATATTAATTTATAGACTCTTATTTAATTAATTATTGGAACATATCTCTTTTATATTCTCATTATATTCAAGGTTAATAAATGACTATTAAAATTCAAATCTAATTAATTCATCAAATTATCAATATATATTATCTATTCTAGAGAATAGAAATAAGTAAAAAAAATGATAAGAATAATTAAATTAAATATATATTTAAAAAACAAATGTTTCACAAAATCAAAGATTTTAGAATCATTAATTTCTTTTTTTCAGTAAATTAATTAAAATGTCAATTTGTTAGGTGTTCTTATTTTAAGTTTGCATAGGCAAAGGAGATCTCAATTTCAAAGGGTTAATATTGTTTTTTTTATAGATTTGTAGCATTTGTTTAGAGAAGTCTTATATTTCAGGAACTGAAGGAAAATCTTATCTAACTTTTTCAGGACGTAGCTTCTTATGACCCAATAAATCATTTAGCTTTTTGATACTTAAAAGATCATTTATTTTTTAGGGTTGATTAGATTCAACTTCAGTTATACTTTTTTTATTTTCTGTATATTTTGGTGGACTCATTCTTGGTTCAACTGACATTCTATTTTGTGAGATCTCATGTACAGAATAACCTTAATTAATAGATGGTAGCTTTTGTCTAACAAATTTTCTTTGTTATCCTTATTCAAATTAATTGTCTGAATAGATCTATCTATGTCCCACTGCAGGACGATATCTCAAAGAAAGTATTTAACGTTCAGTCACACTTCCATTCAAAATAGGTACATTCTGTAAATTAGATGGTGATTCATCAGTTATGCACCTTATGTCAGAGCTTACTTAATTTAAATTCCTCTGAATTGAAATGCTTTTGACTTTCTTGTTTGCCTACAATAATCTTCTATGTTATGGTGCTTATTCATTATTAATATAAAGATGTAAATCAAAATTATACATAATTTTATATCATTGATATTTGAATCCATTTTAATTACCAAATAACAAAGGTTATTCATTTTCTGTTAAAAGATAAACATTATTTTATTATACTACAGCACTTTAAGTGTTGAATTCAATGGAATTCGGTAATTCTTTTGACTTTTATAAAGTCTTAGTCTTTAAGTTAAGAATCTTTTAATAGTATGAGATGAAATACCTAAGTTTCATTACTTTTAACATCATGAACTGATCCACCTAAAATGAGAATCTAATCATAAGAACTTCTAATAGCACAACTATTAAAAGGTAATCTCAAATATCCATTAGATAAGAACTTAAATTCTATTTTAGTCTAAAATGAATTGTATAAATTTAAATACCCATTAATTTTTCTGAATATCATAAGATTCAATGAAATTGCATGGAGTAAAAATATCACATTTACCTCCTATTTTAAATAATGTATTTTAATCAACTGCCACTAATGCACATCCACTACATTTAAAATAAGGATCTTCAATTGTTTACCATCTCTTTGTACTTAAATCAAGTTTCTCAGCTTTAGCTATAGATGTGTTTTCATCATTTGTAGATGATCCACCAACAACAAACAAGAAATTATCTATTTAACAAGCAGAAGTCATTGATCTTGGCAAAACCATTTCTGAATGTAAATTTAATTGTAAATTTGTATGATTAAATTCATAAACTGAAGCAATAGCTTTGAATCTTGATTTGTCTCTATCAACTCCACCAATAACTAAATGTTAACCAGCAGAAGTTGTATATATTCTATGAAATAAAGGGATCTTTGTTTAACTATCTATTGTTTCAATCCTATATTGTTTAGATTTAATATCATAAATATATGCAGCATAACCACCTTCTTCTAATCTTACGAGAACTTAGGGCTTACCATATTCAAAATGATTTGAATCATTGATTTGGTATTTGACTTCATCATTTGTAAGGGTTTCAGATATCAAAGTTATCGGATTCACAATAGGAAGAGGTATTTCAGATATATGATTTGATTTTATAGTAGATTGACTTGATTAGTTATTTTCAGATTTAAATACCTTACTCACTTTAGAGTCAATTGTTTGTTTATTATTTTGTTATTATGTATTCTTAACAAAATAACACATTTTTTTACAATAAGTTTAGAATAATTCAATATTACTTTTATCAAAAACTATTTTAATTTAAGATTATTGATAATTTTAGATTAATCTCTCTAAAGAAGTAAGACTCTTATCTGAAAACAGTTCTTATTTGCCATCACAAATTTAGATGATTGCTCTTACATAATTATCATTGTTTAAATCCTCTTATAATTTGGTTAGCTTATTTTATTATTAATGGATATCTTGTTCTATTTAAGTTAATTATTTTAAATATTCATCTTAATTTAATTCTTTTAAGTTTTTGTACAATGATTCAAAATAGTCATCAACAATATTGGAGATTTGTTGATGTATAATTGTCAATTGTTCAAGATTATTATTATAAAGGATAGATGGTTATTCTGAGAAATATTTTTTAGAGTCTTGTAATTTAGATTATAGTAATTTAGAAAGTTCATTTATTTTATAAGTGTTATCTTTTCTAACTCTTTGAATATTTTCTAATTTTGGGACTCTTCCTTTTGATGAATGCATTTAAAGATGTTCATTGATGCATTCAGGACAGAGTGGTTCAATACAATTCTAATAAAGATTAAAATAATTGTATACTTAATCTTAACAGAGATTGGTAATGAAGAATTCTGGATGAGTTGGACATGGTACATACATGAAATTAGCAAATTAAGTGATATTTGAAATTTGACTAGTATTGTTGATATTAACTTCACCCAAAACACTACCTAAATCAGGTTAATCAACAGTAATGATTTTAGATTTAAGTTATTAAGTAGTTGGTAATTTAGAATGATTCTGAATTGTATTTAGAATGTGTTTACTTATTGATTTTCTTGAGTATTACGTCTCTCATTGGGAGATATATATCTTTTAGATGAACTATGATTTCGACTATCATTAATAGGTGATTGAGATGTATTCATAAAATTCAAATTTTATAATAATATGTTAATTTTAATTTTCATTCTAGTTTCAGAGATAATTAGTTAAGAACCAGAAGTTTGTTTTAAACTAGATGGTCATTTATGTGTGAATAACTAGATAGCAGATATGAGTTTTGTGCCCTTAGAGTCAATAATAGGTTTATGGAGATTCGATAAGAATCAAATGGATGATAGTCAATTACTAAATCATATATTAAAACCTTGTGAACTTGGTCCAGGTAGAGGAGCAGTTGGAAATTCTGCATATTATAGTGGGGAAGAATACTCAATTATTCCACACCATGATTAATATCATGAGATTGTTACTATTTCAATGTGGATCTACCCTTTATCTTCGTAATAATCATTTACTACAATTTTACGTAAAGCTTAAAAATCAACTGAATATACTCCAACAATATTATTATGGCCATTTCATGATGAGGCCAATGTAGGAGGAGGATAAATTGAAGTGATTGTTAGTACATCATATGATAAAGAGAATCTGCGTAGTAAAGGTAGTATAACTGGTAGGAAATGGAATCATCTAGCAATTGTATTACAAGGTTTAAGTATTGATTTATACATAAACGGTATACATGACAATGTGTTATCTTTAAAAGCCAGACCTTTAAAGAACGATGGACCTTTCTATGTAGGAGGAGATCCTTGGTTCAATGGTCCACTCTTATATTTAGATGATCTAACCTTTTATAACATCCCTTTCTTATGTACAATTAAATATATATATTTAAGAATTGGAAATTAGTAAATTAGTCAACTTTCCAGGATAAGTCAATAATCGACTCTTCTATTTAGGTTGTGATGGATGCAATTATCATTAGAGTTTGAGTAGTTGTAAATAAGGTTGGCATTTATGTTCACTTTCTGAAATGACATCTGGCATCTATATGCATGCTCGTTAAAATGGTTGGTTACGTTTAACTAAAGACTTTTGGTCAAGAGTAGATGAAATAGATCAAGAATTAGCTAAAAATTATTTAGACCCTCAAAAAACAAAGGCTGCCATTTGTTGTTCTGATTCTTTTTATTGATTTATTAATAGGATTATATTAATATAATTGTTATTTTATTAACACAGATTAATATTAATATTAATATATATATATATGCAAAATAATAACTTTATTTCATTAAAATCAAATACTCCAACTAGTATCACTGTTTCAATTGACATAAATCACAATAAATATAAAAAGAAATGCATCTTATATATCATTGTATTATAACAACAACGCAAAATAAGCACTCATCAAATCTAACCACCATTTCCAAATGAATATACTATTAGTCACTTAAAACATCAAAGTATGTACACTCTGAAGATTAGATTAGAACATGGATAAGAGAATCTATTATAAACTTTACATTGTAATACAAAGTCAGATTCTAATTTTGTCATTTCAAATCTCTAATAACATTAACAGACAATTAGAGATCCTGTTTATTCTAATAGTGAATAATAATTAGTATAAGTTATTGCTGCTGAAAATGAAGGAATCAATATATTCCAAAATAAATAAGAAATTAAATCCTTGATTCAAAAAGCTCGCAATAATACATCTGCTAAAGGATTCATCTATTCAGAATACAAAATTAACAAACCACCTGAATTAAAACAAGAAAGATTAAAACGTATTTGGATGATATCCAAAGGATAAGAATTCTTTGATGAAGTTTATGGCAACATAGATCCTGGCTTTCAATTTCTCAAAAATGACTGGTTTATGGGACCTTTTTATAGTTATGATCCAAACGAAGAATTATTACGTAAAAATTAAGAAAACCGTGATTTGTAAATTAATTAATCATTATGACATTATATTGTATTTAAAATTTAACATCAAATGGAGGCATTTTTTGATTTCACGTAATCATACTCCAATACTTTAGTTATTTTCATGATCTTAGAAAAATTTGCTCGTAGGATACATACAAAGAAAAACTTAGACTCTTCCTATTTAATCCATATATGGAATTAAAGGAGCACCAAGAGATAGTTGATCTCTTTATTGAATATGTATTATGTTTCATTTTACTTATAGGCTGATTTGTCTCAAGAATATACTATCACTTTTGACCATATGATTAATCATAATATTGGTATTAAGGAACCCTAATTCTATCATTACTTTTTCAATAAACTTAAAGAGATCAATTACAGAAAAGCTCTATAATGTATTTAAATGGCTAAGCAGTATAATTTTATATATTATTATAAAATAGATTTTGCTATTCAAATTTCGAATAAATTGATTCTATGAACAGAGATTTAGAAAACATCCTTCTTTTCTAATTCGACTCTTATTATCAATCCAAAAATTATTCCAAAAAACAAATTGAAGAAAAACTTAAACAATTTGAATTAAAATTTTATTAATCCAAAAACAAAAGAATCCAAATCCATATTGATGAACAATACAGAAAATTAGATCTTAAAGCTATAATTCATGAGATTGAGTCTTTCAAAGAAAATAAATGCAATTCCCATTCATCTACTCACAATCCAATTTCATAAACCTATTATTTAAATCCAGAAGAATAGGACTTTTGTAGTCAACTAGAATCTAAAGAATTCAAACTCATCAAACCTAAATTCTAAAATAATCGTAGCAATCTTCAAATTATTACATAATCCCCTAATTTCTCAAATGACATTGCTTTATCTGAAGAAATCAATAAACTCACTCCTATCAGTACTTCTTCAACATCCAGCAGATACATATTTAAATTGAATCATAATTACAACATCAAATCCAACTAACAATAAAAATTAATCATACCCATACCTACTATTAATTAATAAATCAGTCCATTAAAATCTTTAAATCGAATGAAGTACAAAAGCATATAAAAATTAAGATAACTTATTTTTGAAGATAATGCTCATAGTTCTGTCAAAGAACCTTTAAAATTTGATTCACCTGAATGAAATTTATTAATTTATATACTATAACAAAATAATTAATTTAATCATGTATTTAGAATAGCCATATTAAAAGAAAACAATCCTAATCCAAGTGATATTCTGCAAAAAATTAAAATTTCTTACCTAAAAAGCTTTAAAATAATTCTTGTTCTTTGCTACCAAATTATATCAAGAAAATTTAGTTCTTAATTTTTTTTAGTTTTTACCCTTTTATTTTGTCCTAATTTAAGTGTATTTTTAATCTGAAACTTATTATATATTTTAAAAAGAGGCAAGCAAACAATTAGTATTAAGAACAAATAAAATGATAAAATTTTGCAGCACAATTTTTAAGTCGCTAATTTTGATTGGAGACTTAAGCTAAAATAGATTAGGAATATATTTAAGGTATCAATAAGTTTATTTTAAATATTTTGGATACAAATATATGATTGATAGATAAATTTATAATATCTAAAAAGAGGATTATTTTGAGAAAAGTAAAGCAAATAAATATATCGATATAGAAGATTTTAAGATTATAGATTAGGAATTATTGTCGATTATGCCAAGGACTTAAATAAATTTGTTTAATGATATTAAATATAATTGAATGAGGTTTATAAGGAATTGTTGAAAATTTAAGAAAAAAGAAGGATTGCATTTTGGATCTTGAAATAATTGTGCATTCAGAAATAGCAAGAAATCTATAAATAAATCTAACTTATTCAAAAATTGTTTTAAATTAAGGTTGTTTCAATTTTTTATTGAAAAATTTAGAATTTTACTTTATTTATTGTTTTTTTACTTTAATCTAAAACATCTCAGACTATTATTTAAATTAAAAAAAATGTTAAAAATAAGAATTAAGATTTATTTTAAACTAAATATCTAGGTGATATAATCAAATGAATAAAAACATTTTATAGAGTATAAGAAATTTAATAGAATATCCTGTTTTAATAAATATTGAATTCTGATATTTAGATGAGGATGGAGATATCATCTAAGTCTCATATACCAGTAAAATATTAGCAATAGTAATAGTATGAGAAACAATTAATAGACAACTTTTCTAAGGAGATTCTTTAAATAGAAGCTTAAATTAATTAGTAGAAGGTATAAGAAAGCTAAAATAGTTGAAGAATTAAAATAGAAACGATTTGAAGCTTAAGTAGAAATAAGTTAGAAGTAAATTAGAGCAAATAGTCTTTTTAAAATTACAGGAAGAATGAACAAAATTTATGAAATAATACAAGAGAAAGAAAAGATAAAGGGTTAGGCTAGACAAAAGCTAAAATCCTTTAGAATTGTTATGAATATATGAGGGATTTTCAGAATTCAAATTTATTTGATTTAATAAAAGAAAGAGTCATAATTTTAATTTTAGTTTGAGAACATACACAAATGGAACAATATAAATTAATAAATAAAGTAGTTGAAGAATGAGAAATAGGAGAAATTTTAAAATTGGATGAAAAACAGAAAAGACTATCTGAAAATGTATAAAATAATTGAGCAGAATTAAATGTGTTTGGTAGAATGATGAATAATTTCGATACATTTATATTTGATAGATTTGAGTCTTGTATTTATAATTTAATGAAAAAGTGCGTAAATTATAAACTAGTTTAGAATAAGGAATGAGATGTAAATTAAATACAATGAAATCCGTTTTTATATAATATTTTATTAAAAATGAGAAGTTCTGCATTAGTAATATGCATGCTAGTGTTGGGAAGTGGTAACATTGTATTTAATTCTAGCCCTATCTGCTGAATTGGATTTGGGTACATCCTTATTATCAATGGATTTATCTGATGTAGCCCTACTGGATACTACAACAATGAGTTGTTCGACACCATAGAATGAATTTGAGAGAGTTTCTGCTTAAATGGCAGCTTGGGCTGACATTGTTTAACATAAGGATTCCTTACATAGAGATATTGATAGATTAGAAGCCATCAAAGAGCTTATTCAAAAGAGGAAGTTCAAATCATTAGAGAAATAGTTGGATAAATTGGAATTGCCAAAGACTGAAAGTAAAATTGGAGAGCCAATCTTGGCAGAGTTCAGACAAAGACTCAAAGGATTAAGCAATCCAGAAACAGCTGATGAATGTGAAGCAACTTTACTAAAATTATGCATCTATCTTCTCAAGCAATTTAATAGTTGCAGATAACAATGCTCATCTAATCCAGTGACTGTCATCAAAATCAAAGGAAAAATTAAGGATTTACAAGTTGTTTAATAAGGTTGCGGATAACCTGCACCTTGTGAAGATGAACCAGGAATACCTGATGAACCTGTCCCTGAAATCCCAGATGAAAAAGGTCCAGAAGAACAAGATGTTCCTCCTGAAGAATAACAAACTCCACCTGAAGAACCAGTCCCTGAAATCCCAGATGAAAAAGGACCTGAAGAATAAGACATTCCTCATGAGGAATAATAAACACCCCCTACTCCACCTGATGAAGAGGAACCTGAAATCCCAGATGAAAAAGGTCCAGAAGAATAAGACGTTCCTCCTGAAGAATAATAAACACCTCCAACTCCACCTGATGAAGAAGAACCTGAAATTCCAGATGAAAAAGGTCCTGAAGAATAAGATGTTCCTCCTGAAGAATAATAAACACCACCAACTCCACCTGAAGAAGAAGAACCTGAAATTCCCGATGAAAAGGGTCCAGAAGAAAAACATGAAGAAACTGATGAACCAACTCCTGAAGAACCAACTCCTGAGGAATCAAGTCCAGAAGAAGAAACTCCAGAGATTCCTGATGAACCACCTGTTAATCCAAATCACGAAGAATCACCAGAAGAATCAGTAGAAGAATCAGCAGAAGAGTGGGTTGAAGAATCTGAAGAAGAATTCGAAGAATTTGAAGAACCACCTATTGTTGCTCCACCTATTGAACCACCTAGCATTGTTGAAAAGACTTGTTTGAATTCAGTCAGCGAAGTTGTCTATACCTCATCTGTTGATGAAGCCACACCATTAATCAATAAATAATTAGATGGAGATGATTTAAGCTGTTATGGATTTGGATTTTACACTAGATGGCTTTAAGCTTATCCAACATACTTGGTTCATGGAAGATAATCTGAAAGATATTTTGTAGCAAGAGTTTCTGAATCTGAACACACAACTGGTGAAGTGAATGATAATGCTTTGAGTGTATATTTAACAAAAGAAGGTTTGGAATTCTAATCATATGACAGCTAAGGATTATCAACAACAGTAGTTTAAGTTGGTGATATAGAAGGAAAATGGATTTATGTTTATTATTCTTATTGCAATGAGAAAGCAGTTGCAGTAGTGAATGAAGATGGATAAACAACAATAAATGAAATAAATGTAAGTCATGAGAAACCATCTTAATTGTTTTTCTAATTAGCTGGTAAATAAGGTGATGTTCCATCATTTTAGGGTTAATTCAGATTGGTTTAAGCTCATGCTGGTTAAAATGTATTTATAGAAACAGAAGCTGAAGCAAATGATTTTGTATTTGCTTGCAATCACTTAGATGAAGAGAAATGTGAAAGATAAATATCAAATCTTCATGAATTTGAATTCCATGGTGCTGAATCTTAATTTGATGCATCATCAGTAATAGAGAATGCTGAACCAATATATGCTCAAGAATACTCAGTTTCAGGTTGGTTCAAATGGTATCCAGTTTAAAATCCTGAATCTTGGTATTCAGCTTTCAGATTAACATTGAACAATTTGGCAACAAATTAAAATGCTAAATAATTGGGAGATAGAGATTTAGCATTATTTGTAGGAAGTGAAAAGAAAGATTCAGTATTAGCTTTCACAACATACACTTATTCAGATTTATATGGAAATGGAAACCCAACTTATTGGTAAGCAATCCCATATGAAAAAGATTTGGTTCATTGGCATTATATTTACTTTGGATTTAGTAGACACATTTCAAAAGCTTATGGTTATGTTGAATTCTTCACTAGAAAAGGAGAAGTTCATTTTGAGAATGTTAAGCATTTTGATGCTCCTCATAAATATTTATATGTTGGATAAGACCAATTCTATAAATCCTATAGCGGTAAGATCTTTAATTTACATTACAATCTTTGTGATGGTTCATATAGAGAATTGAAATATGATGAACATTGGGGATATACTCCAAAACCAACAGATCCAGTTCCACCTCCTCCTGCTCCAGTTCCTGAAATTCCATCAGAACCTTAAAGTGAAGAAGAATGGGTTGAACCACCTATTCCAGAAATTCCATCTGAACCTGAAGATGAAGTTCCTTATGACCCATAACCTGAAGAATAATTACCTCCACCTGTTAGTGAAGAAGATACTCCAGTTGAACCAGAAGAAACTCCAGTTGAACCAGAAGAATAACCATCACCACCTGATGAAGAAGAACCAGAAATTCCTGATGAACCATCTGTTCCATCTGAAGAAACTGAAGAATCACCTGTTGAACCCCCTGTTGAACCACCTGTTGAACCAGAAGAAGAAACACCTGAAGTACCAGAAGTACCACCTGTTGAACCAGAAGAAGAACCACCTGTTGAACCAGAAGAAGAACCAACACCTGAAGAAGAAGAAGAACCTTAACCACCTGCTCCAGTTCCTTAACCAAAGTATTATTTTATTTTTTATTCTTATTAGATGTCCACCAACCATTGAAGTCAATAAAGATAATGCTGCTGATATCTTATGTGAATTATCACATTATTTGGGAGAATTTGCTCAAGGTCATGTTCCTGTTGCAGGACCAAGCACTAAAACTGTTTGCTTCTGTATGACTTATAATGAAGGTAATTATTTCATATTTATTATTAAAGATTATGCTCCACCAACTTTATTACAATTAGCCTCAAAGATCCCAGGACATCTATCCATGAATGAACCTAAAGTAGCAGTCCCATTATTGAAGAAATTCATCAAACAAAGATTATGAATATTTTTAATATTAAAAATGGCTAATCAATTTGATACAATTTCATTTCCTACCTCATCAAAACTTCATTAACACAATCCTTCCTATGATTCACATTTACACAATAAAATGAATCAATGTTCTTCTGATATTAACATCCATCATATCAACAGAGAAATCTTTTTCATTGCAGATTAAGCATTAAAATTAAAATAAACTATTCAACAACACTCTGATTTATATAAATATATAATTAGAATTGTTGAAATTAGCATGAAAGCTAGAGATGTGGATAACAATAAAAAATTATTGGATGATATTGTTGAAGAATTATCAATCATTCTAACTCACTCCTTAAACTCAAAAACTATTTACTTGTTGCTCAACAAATTAATTTAACTATATAAAAAAAAATAATCAATCTTTAATAATAGTGATACAAATATTAAAAAATTTGCTTTATTATTTAATAATTAATCTAAAACTCAAAATAAAATATTTCTCAATTTTAAAGATTCACCAAGAATTCATAATCTTTTTTAAAAATCATAATCTCCTACTTCACAATATTCGAATTCAAGAATTTTCTAAGCTAAAAATTAAGATTAAATCTATCAATTCTAAGATCCATACAATATTAACAATGAACGTCTTAAAGCTATATTGGATCCATCAATAAATTCTCACAGATAGAAAAACTATTATATTTCCAAATATTGACCTTTTTTATTTTTTATTATTTAATACTTTATTAAACAAAAATAATTATTCTCTTACATTTATATTTCATAATATCATTAAATGGAAAATTATATAATATAAATGTAATTATGTATTAATAAATCAATTTCAGTTTTGCTACCCATTATTCTTATTATTTTCTGAAAAAATGCGTCTTATTTCCTCTATTTCTTTTTAATCCTCAACTAAAGTTAGATTATTGATCGCATAATTTCTCTGAGAGCTATTATTAGTTCCTCTAGTCTAATTGAATGTCAAACAAGCACAATACACAATAATTGCCATAATTACTAGACCAGCTGAAACTCCTATGATAATATAAGGAGCATCTTTTGGATATACCTTCCAATATGGCAAAATCTCAATACTTTCAACTTTTATATTACCTGATACAGAATATCCTGAATTAGCACTTTAGGTTGTTTAGTTAGGAGATTATAAAAGTCTTCTTAGTAGTATTCTTCTACTTTCTGATGGATAGTTATCTTCTAAATCTCTTTCAACTAATTAAGCTGTGATTGATATTGTGCAATTCTAAACAGCTGCTGGCACTTTAAATGTATAAATTGTAGCAGTCATATTTTTTTCTTTTTCATTTCCTGTCCTTAAAGTTATAGATGTGCCATTTCCAAGAACCATAGCACTAACTAATTGAAATTTAAAATCTGCTCCAAAATCCATGTATTTGTTGTCAAGCATTACTAGAATGTAAAATGGTTCATTTAAATACAATACTTGTGGTTCTTCGTAAAATGATCTACAGGATGAGCTTTAACATAAAAGTATCTTCCCTTCTACTTTTGTAGATGCTTCATTCAGTTAAATTGATTAAGCCAAAACTCCAAATTCAACTTAATCAGCCTTAATATCTCCTGCAACAATAATACTACTGTCATTTGGATAATAAAATTCTTATGTCCAAGTTATATTTACTAAATCGACAGAAGTATTGTTTAAGAACAAGAAAAATTCAAAAAGACATGAATATCCGGCTTAGTTAGAAATTGGAAGTTTTTCTGAATATTAACAACCAGCAGTTTTTAAAGTATTCTCAAAAATTTTAAAGCCATATTAATAGATAGCCAAATTTGGATTTGAACCATCAATATAATTATTATTGGCTTTGTTCATAATAAATTTGACCATATGACATTCACGTATTTTAATATTCTTTAAGACTATACCATACAAAGCATTCTATTCTGAAATCCATCCAACAGAGATTTTATTAGCAGTAATAGTTCCAGCATCATAAAAGCAGAAATCATTTACACAAACTCCTCTATAAAGTCTTCCTTTCTCACATGATGTACATTCAGAATAAGATAAACAACTGCTGCATCCCTCAGAACAGATTCCTCTATCAAATATTGATATATTAGTCACCAAAAACTAACCTGCAAAATCAGTAGCTGCAGAAAAAGCTTCAAAGATCACTCGAAATGGTTTTGTTGAATTAGGTCTTATATGAACCCTAACCTATAATTATAGTATTTATATACTTTTGTCCATATATTTTCAGCAAGACTGTTTATAGTAACAAATTAAGCATATTTATTTGTTTAGTTTACTCCAGATGTTATTAATTTGATATCCTCTGCAGCAATCCAGTAAAATTCATCATCATCATTTGTCCAACCTATGACAATTCCTGTATATGGACTTTTTGATTAAGGATGATGAGCAGCAAAGTAAGCAAATTCTAAAGTTACTACATCTTCCTCAGTTGTGAAGTTTAAACTCGATTGGATTGGTCTTGTATAGCAATCTCCACCATAAGTAAGTTTTGTAATAACCATGCAATTTTATTGTCTTGGAACAACAGTACATGGCACAATCAAACAATTATGAGTACTTGATATATTTGATTCATTTTTTGAAGTTATAAATGTTGAAATATGATCGTTGAAATTGAAGAATGTGGGTGTATTTAATATTTACCCTAGCACTACTTCTAATCCTAAGAGAATAATATAGCATAGCATTATATTAAATATTTATTTTAATGAATCAAAAAGGATGCAGAATCCTTCATTTCAATAAAAAATCGAAATATTCTATTTGAATTAGCTAATTGATTTTCTATTGCCATACAACTATATTTATGTAAGTATGGTTTGTGATTTTAACTCTACAAATTAAACTCAAAATTCTATTTGAATTCTCAGTAAATATAACTAAACCCTAATTTACCTTTCCTATTTTTACACTTACCATTCCTTTTTAAACTTTCCTCTTTCTTTTTCTGATATTTAATTGATCTCATGCACAATTTTACTAATTCTAACTTAAGTAACATTTATAATCAATAAATATTCTATACTCTTTTTATTGCAAACAATTATAATTTAATCAAATCCATCATATTTTTGCCAATTTACTTCATTCATTAACATGTTTGCAAAATATATATTCATTATTTCATTCTATTGGGGTCTATTTTCGAAAATTTTATTTTTTGATCCATCTAATTGCATTTGATGATTGAATAATTTACTCATCAATTATACCTGTTCTTTATGATTAATTGCTAATTCTTTATATTTTCCCCCTATTTTTAAAATGACCTAAAAATATTGTGCCAAAATGTTATAATTCGATTTATTATTAAGAAAAATTTATAATTAGTTTCCAATTATTTTTTAGAATTACTTCTATTATTAACAATCTTATTTATATTTTTTTCTCATTTCTAATTTATATAAAGTCATCATTTTCTTCTTTTATTTTCATTTTATAATATTTAAATTTGGATCTATTTACTAATAAATGAAAATTATTCTATTGTTGAATCTAACTCATGTTTTGGTGGAGTTTTATTATTTTGTTAAATAAAAAATATAACATTCTTATTTTTAAATTTGATTCTACTAACTTAAAGTTATGTTGTTTAAAGTTTTTTCAGAGATAATAAGTATATTTCTTTTTAATATTAAAGCTTCCTTAAATCTTGGATTAAACAAACAAAATAAAGTATCGGTAATTTCATGAAAATTACTAAAATCTATAATTATATTATTTATTGAATCATTTAAGTTTGAAAAAGAAAGAAAAATTAATATTTTATGAATAAAAAAGTTTTTTCAGTTTGAAATTCTGATAGACAAAAACCAATACAGATTTAAGGAATTTAAAAAATCTCATCTACACATAAATGATAAAATGTGAAATTCTAATGAAAAAGAAAATCTGAATTAATTTTATATTATTATTTTTTCCTTTTGTATTAATTAAACAACATAAAAAAAATTTCATAAATAAATTTAATGAATACCAAATATTCCACACCAACTTTATTTTGTATTGTTTAGTAGACAAAAATGTTTTAATAAACCCTTAAGATCAAAGATTTAAATAATGGGTATCATGCATAATTTTATTTGTAATAATAACCAAGTTTGAATTATTAAATTCGATTTATGTTTTGGAAGTCTTCTAAAGATTAAAATACAAAAGAAGAGAAAAATAGTTTATTTAAATATTTTTCAAATTAAAAAGAGCAAAAAGAATAACCATCTGAAAATAAAGTTTCTAAAATATAATTCTTTAATTTTTTTTAGAAAAGTCAAAAAAAAATTGTCACATAATATGAAAATTTGGAAAAGAAAAGTTATTTTGAGCTATCATAATTAAAATACTTACTTCAAGATTAAATTTCTAAATTGGGTTATATTGGAAAAGCATCTTACAAATATTTTTTAATTGGAGTATTTGTTCTTGGATTTGCTTATTCAATCCCAAAATCCATTTCAACATTTTTTGCTACTAAAATGGCCATTTCAGCTCAATTATCAATTGATAACTTAAAAAAGGAAAACGATATTTTGAAAAGCAAATTAGAATTTGTGCAAAATTAGTTAAATTCAGAGAAAGCAAAATAAAATGAATTAAAACAAAATAATTATTAATATTGAATTTTAGACAGAATAAATTTAATACAAATTAATAATTGCATAACTAATAAAATTTTCTTTATCATTTGTTTGAATTAAAGTTATTTATATCAGCTCATCGTTATTTTTTTATTAATTGAATAAATTTTTGTTTTCGAAATTGATTTAAATCTATAAAAATTACAAAACAATTCTAAAGCATCAACTATATTTTATCACATATCAAATCTACCAAACCAACATTTAAGCTTGGATTGTTTATAATTATTGGAATTAAATATATTATTAGCTATATTATATAAAATGTGAGTAATTCGTTGTTATTTCATCAAATTTATACTCAAATTTTTAAGTAGATAAGTTTACATTATTTAACTATTATTTAGTATCTCCAAAACTTTGCCATAAAAATACTGATACTAATTTGATTTTGAATAAAATTGAGTTAAAAGATATAAAACTCTTTCTTAAAATTTTTAAATAATTTAAAAGCATTTTTTCATCATAAAAAGTATTCAAATTAATGAACGAATGGTTTATGGAGTTTTTAATAATGATAGAATTCTATAATCTTTAATTAATATTTAAAGTACAGAGAAGTATAATTATTAAGTCTTTAATTTTGATTTGACAAACTCATTTAATATATAAATGCCATCATTATCTTTTTTATTTGAAAATTTTTGTATAATAATGATTTTTTAAATAAGAAACTTTGTTAATATACAAAGGTTATTAACAATTAATATAATTTAATCATGAAAAAAATTTATGTATAGTTTATTCGTCAAAATCAATTAAATGAGCCAGCATATAAATTAATTGCAAATTCTTTGGCATCTTCTTCATATTCCTTTTCTTCTTGCCCTTCTTCTTTATCTTGGGCATTTTCATTCATATATGATTTTTTTTTACTCATGTCATGTAATCTACTAATATAAATTATTTTTCTTGCACATAAATCTAAAAACTTTGGTTAATTCTAAAATATTATATTACATTATTATAACTCTAAATTAATACATGACATCTTCAATGTTTAATTTTAAATTATCTTCTTATTTTTCTATTGACCTTTTAATCGATTTTTCCAAAACTCTCTGTAAAAAATGAACAGCAGCCTTTTAAACTTCTTAGACAGCTAATGGATCAGGTTCCTTTTCTCCAGCATTTGATTAAAATGCTGTTCTAATTGGGGCTTCAAATATTTTATTAGAGACTTTTGGATTTTTGCTACTAAATAATTCATTTTTCATTATTTTAATTATATATCAAATTTAAAATACTTTTTAAGCAATATAAAATACAAATTTTAATCACGCAGTTAAATTATAAATGAATATTACAATAGTAAATGAAACTTATGTTATGAAGATTTCTACATATTTTTAATTTAAAATATTATTCAATTCTAAGTAAATGTACATAATACTGGTATATAGATCATATATTCTTTTTTGACTCCAAAACAGAGGGAATTTAAAAATTAAAGGTTACTTAGGGATCAATTCTCTAGAAATAAATGATTAAATATTAGTTATTTTATGCTGATTAAAATAAATGATCAATAATTTAAATGTGAATAATTTAACTAAAAATATGATTGATTTTTTTTGTTTAAGTATATATTAAGAGAGTGAACATATTGTGATAATTTCCATATACAATAAATAATATAAATAATCAATAATTAATTAAACTATCAAGACAATGCTCCATACTGAATCTATTTTAACAATCTAATTTGTATTTTAGATATTTAAGTGGATTGTTAAGTAATTTTTAATTATCTGGCATAAATTGATCGTAATATTTGATACGATGATATTCTAGTTTTTCAGATAGATTTCCAAATGGATCTGGACGAGTATTCTAAAGAGTTTTGTAGTTGGTAGAATTTAAATGAGGTAATTAATAACTCTATCCTGCAGAAGAATAAGATTAATTTTATGTTTGATTAGGTTATTTATTAGTTGTAGTATATGTTTAGGGTGTTTTGGTATCTGTTGTTTATCTGATAGAATGAAGTGATATTTTATATGGATCAGATGTTGGAGGATCAGTCTACAATTCTACTTGTAGTTCTTAAATTTTTTATTTAAATTGTTCTATATTAGATGATAGATTGAATCGATCTTAATGTCTCTATGATTCATTAAATTTTTTAGTATATTGTTAAATGGATTTATTGAACTCTTGTAATCCTGTTTTAACATCACTTAATTCATCTTTTTTATCAGAACTTTCTGGAGCATGGAGACTACTAATGTCAATTCCAAGGCGTTGTAATTTTGATTAGCTTAAATCAATATCTGAATCCTCAGAAATTATCTAATCATTTTATAGATCTGCCAAGGTTAGAGTAGCAGGAAAGTAGGCTGAAACTTTGTTTCGGTTAGTGTCTGTTAACATTTATTATTTGCGCAAATTTATTATAATTATTTATTCACAACAATCATTTAATTAATATTTATTAGAATTATTAAATATTAACTTTGCTTTAAATATTTATTTTACTCTATAGAGGTCTAATCAATTCTTCATTATAATATTCTTATCATAAAGTCTCCAGAAAAAAAAATGGAAATTAATCATTTGTTAAATATATACTAAAAATTAAGATTTGCATATTATTTTTATATATATTCATGATGACAATAATCCATATTCAAAATTAATTCCAACTTAAATCTTTAGGATTGTGATCTAAATATATTTAAAAGTTTATAATACAATCAACTTTTTTAAATTCTTTTTGAATGTCATGATCCCCTAAAAATTAACCTAAAAATTCTCTTTGATCTTACGGGTAATGATTATTACTTTTTTTTAAGCTTTTTTGTATAGCAAACACATTGTTTTATGGTGTTCTTGAATTCATTTAAAAATAATATTTATGAATTAAATTGTAAATCATCAAGGTTTTAATTAGTGAGCGTATGGAATACTTCTTAAATAAAAATGCATAATTTGAAGAGAACTTAAATAATTTTATTTTTATCTCCGATTGAGATCTAAATGATATAAATAGTGATTCATTAACAAAAATTAACTCAATCCTCTCTTGGTACCTTCAAAACTACTTTGATCTCACCTAAATTTTATATATCATTTATACTTTGAGAATCAATTTTAACTCAGTATTATTATTAGAGAAGATTTACAATATTAAATCGTTGAGGCATTTCGTATATAAAAATAATTAGATAATAATAATTAAATATGAAGCAATATGTTCTTGATATGGACAATCGAATTAATTTTAAGGAGTTCTAATTTTTGATTGGTTAATTATAAATTGAGATTTGCGAGAGAAAATTATTATAATTATTTGAAAAGAATTAAAAGTATAATCAATTAGATGAAGCAAAATTGTATGAATTGGTTAAAATAACATAAAAAAATGAACTTTTTTAATTATATCAAAAATATTGTAGTAAATATAAGGATTATTTGATGATCCACTGAATAAAATTTTAAAGAATGTACATAATTTAGAAATATTTTATTTAATTGAAGAAGGGTAAAAGATTAGCTTCGAAATATTATCAGGATTTTTAAAACATAATTTTTAGATTTAAACATGTAGCATTATATTATTGATGTGGAGAAGATTGAAGAGCGAATAAAACACATATTCATACTTTAATAAATGATATAAAATTTATAGATGTAATTGAGACAGTGAGGGAATTTGGCATTTTTAAGGAAGAGGATCGTGCTTTATTAATTTTAGAAATGCATTGTTCTCATTTTCCTTCAGAAAAATATTGTTTACCTTCATTAGAATTTAAAAAGAGGCTATCAAATCGTACCATTATTAAATTCATAGATAAAACCATTGTTTAATTCTCATGTTTTGGTATTTATTAAAATAGAATAATGAATATTATTGATTCAATCTAATGTTTTTGATTTTAAATTATGTTTTTTGTATTAATTTTTCTCTTAACTAATTTTATCATATTTATCTTTATTATTATTTTTAGATTCAACAATATTATATCCCTCATAATTTGATAACCCTTTTAACTGTGTCTCTTTAATATATTTTACAACATTTTTTAAAAGACGTTTTTGAATTATAATTATTTTGTTTTATAATTCAATCTATAATCTTTACAAAAGAATGTGCTCACAGGACCCTTTATTCTGCTTTTCTAATAATATTTAAATTTCATCTTTTAAATCACTTAAAATCTTTAAATTTATTGGTTTATTCATTAAATTTCCAACTCTTTTACCTATTTCATGAATCCTTATGAGCACTTTTTATTTTAAAGAAGCTTAAACTACATTTTTAAGTTATTGTTAAGTTATTAAAATGATTTATTATAGATTTTCATTATTTGATGTCGCAAAACGACCATTTGATTTCGGCGAATAAACTCCTTTCATTTAATTTTAATTAATCTAATATATATAAATTAAATCTCTAAAAATCAATTTCAAATTCTTACTAATATTATTCTAAATCCTTTTTTCAATTAGATCACTTGATATTTCAAATTTAATCTTAATATATATTTAAATATATTAAATACAAAATTTGAATAATCTAAATAGATAAATTTTAATAACATTAGACGTATTTTCAAAATTATCCATAAAGAATCAATAAGTTTATTTTAATATTTGAATTAAAGTTTTTCTAGGAACATAAAAAATGTAGCTATTTAAAAAAACCTAAATTAATTATAAGTTTTTTGGTATATTCTGTCAATATGGTTTATATTTAATAATAAGTTGTATTTTATTGGTTTTAAATAACAAATAGATAAAATATAGAATATATTTAATAAATATCTTAATTGTAATAATTATATTAAGACACACAATATAAAATTTGAAGATAAATCACAAATCAAATGGATCAAATTGGACTTATTGAATACTTGGTAACCATTAATATTAAAGTGGTTAACATGGAGTTCCATCACCTTATTTGAATGTAACAGATAATTTTTTTTTATCTTTAATATTTATATTGAATATACCTATCAAATGACCATCCATAGCTTCTTTTGCTTTTTATGCACTTTCTTATTTGTCAAAACTGACAAATCCAAAACCTTTACTTTTACCAGTTTTAGGATCAGTCATAACTCTAGCTGAAATAACATTTCCATATGATGAAAATAAATCCATAAGATCAGAATCCTTATGTTCATTAGGTAAATGGAAAACAAATAGATTTGCTCCAGGAGGACCTGTTTTTTTTGAATTGAAAGTAGCTAAATCATTCAAATATTTTTCTTTAGTAATAATTTCTTTGCTACCATCAGGTGAATATATAATAGAACCAAAACTTACACTATTAAATAAAATACAATTGAAACCTTCTTACAATTTCTCCAGTTTCCCAATGAATATAAATAGGTTTCTTTTTTTAATCTAACCATCTTGTATATGATTTAGTCTAAACAATGAATTATAATATATACAATATCTCTTATTGGATCTCCTTCTTCATTAGCTGGAGTTTCTGGATATTAAGATTTTGCAATAGTTGCAGGTTAACCTAAAAATCTAACATCTAAAGGACGATCACTTAAATAATTGAATTGGAGTACCCTAACTAATTTTTATTATGATTATTTTTGATTGCCAATAAGCAACTTTCCTTAAAAGTATATGAAACTATGGCACTGATTGAAGACTATCCTTAATTCTGTATTTAAACATCAGTAACTTAACCATATTTCATGAATATTTCTTTTATCATTGCTTCTTCACAATCCTTTTATAATCCATCTATTTATATTTTTGGAGATGTTTCCTCTGCTACTCCTAGTCTATCTTTCTCTCCATCAGCCCATTTAAGTACCAAAGGCTACATTCCATCTACTGCCACTTCTTTCAATTATTTTGTTGCTTTTTCACCCTCTTACATTTTGTTAAATTTCACTATTGCTGACCCTTTAGCTTTTGCTAATTTATAAATTATTTATAATACGATCATCTTTTTTTGCCATTTAGATATCCGATACTGTATATCCTTGACTAGAAAGAAAATGTTTTAGTTTTAATTCATCCCATGTTACAGGTATTTAAGAAATCTGCAATTTTAAATACAGTGGTTATTCTGTCGAGCAAAAAGTAGGTACATAAGACATTCTTCAGATTATTATTCAATTATTTTAAATAAATTTAATATAAAAAAATATATATATATACAATAATAATACTTAATTATATAACATATCATAAATGAATTAATATTAAAATATTATTAACAAAAATAAGTCTTTCCCGAATATTACATTATTTCTTTTCAATTTAATTTATATTCAAGACCCTTCTAAATTAGATTGATTTTCAATTACTTAATCTTTAAAATTCAATAAATAATTAAAATATTTAATATTTTAAATTTCATTTCAATTACAAATAATAAGAATTGTAAAATTGGGAATGAAAAATAATCATAAAATTCAATAATCATTCCAAAAATTTAACTTCTAACCAAATTGATTTTCGACTTTGTTGCCTATATTTTCTCTTATGAGATTAAATGTTATTTAAAAAATTAAATTTATGTATTTTTGAGACTTTAAAAGTAAAAATTTAAGAAATTAAGGAACACATCCACATAATCATCAATTGATTAGATAATTTTTAATGCTATTCAATAATTAGAAAACCAAATAAATTGTATATCATATGGCAAAATATTCATATTATACTCTTGACTTAGATTAAGAAAATTTTTAAAGAGAATTAAATGAATTAATTTCCAAAATTACTATAAATTGAAAATAGACAAAGTTAAAAAATTTTGAAAAAAATAGTAATATCAACCCTTCAATACAAAGACTAAATCTATTAATAATTTATTGGTAAAAGTCTAATAAATTAATAGGTTACTTGATCTGTGATTAATTTTAATAATATGTTTAAAAGTATATATTTTAAATTATTTGATTGAATCTCCATAAGTGAATAAACTTATAGTTTATTTAATTATCATATATAAATTAAGAATAAAATTTGATATTGTCATTATTAATTATATGAAAAAAAATAAATTGGGTTTTACTGATGCTAACGAAAAGAAGTATTAAGTCATAAAACTTGCTTTGTTATTGGAAAAAAAAGGCTTAAAAACTCCTTTCAATATCATTAAAATCTATACAAATGTTAAATGGAGATTCTATTAAACCACAAATTTTAATAAGATTCCTAGTTCGAATCAATCAAAGCTAGACTATATAGATTTTAAATCGTAAAATATAAACTTATTATTTAAATAGTAAATAAACTATTTCTAAATAAAGTTTGAGAATAAAAGTTTAGGAAGTTTAGATAAAAAGTTAGACTGAAAGAATCCATTAATCTTTATAGGATGATATGTCTAATTAATCTAGACTCCATAAATTTTCTGAAATAGCTAGATTTAATTAAAAAATACGATAAAATCTCAATTAGAAAATGGTAATAAAAAAGGATGTCTTTGAGAAAATTTATGAATTTGGACTGCTTGCAACATTTTTAGGATTTCTAATTTCTTTTTATTTAGTAATAACATAACAAATTTGATAAAAATTATATATATATATTGATTATCTAATTAGTGTAATTTAAAATGTACCAGCTTTAATGCAAAATTTTGAAGAATTAATTAAAATACTTTTTTTACTAAAATTAACAATATAAAATATTAATTTTCATAATATATATTTTAACTACATTAAAAATAATGTATAATAAAATTTAGACTTGAATATTAATATAATTAATATAATAATGAATAATAAAAGATCGACAATTGAGGATGCTATGAGAGCTGAAAAAATAAACTTGAATCCTTATTAAGCGTAATAATAAGGCAACAATCAAAATTATTATGGTTACAATTAAAATATGAATTACAGATTCCAAAGCAATCTTCCAGTTCAATATAATTAATATTATCAATATGGTTATTAAGGATTTGTAAATTAATGTAAATTATGATATATTATTATTATATAGAGCCAATAATGCAAAATAACATGTATCTACAATAATAATAATAATACATGAATTAATAAAATAGATTTCCTCCTTAATAATAGTTGTGTAATACCTAATAATAAATACGATAATAATAATTTTAACAACAATAACTTGAGTAATAATAGATTTAATCAAAATAAGAATAATAATAAAAAATATAAATAGAAATAAATAATGATCATTAATTTTTACCTCCAGTAAATATTTCAGAATTGGATTAACCAACAAGATGGGAAAGTGAATTAAAAGTTTATTCATATATGTATAGAAAATTAAATATTGAGATGCCTAATTTAGTTAGTATAATAATTTTAAAATAAAATAGGCGCTAGATTTTGCAATTCTAGAGAAGTGTTTAATGAATAATCATCTATAAATGTAAAATAGTATGTTGAGAGAGCATTCAATAAATGTTAATCAGATGATGAAAGAAATATAATGGAACAATATTTAAAAGCTACAATAGGTGAGGCTAAAAGAAAAAATGAATATAATATAAGAGATTGGTCTAAATTTCCTTTGCCAACACTTCCAAGAGAGAATTAAATACGTACATAGTCGTTATATTAAACAAATTAACAAATTAAATAAGGCAAAGCTATGGTGTTGTCATCATTAGGTTAAACTAGTAAATTTGGGGCACCTAGTTAAGCTCAACCTTCTGGACCAGCTTAAAGTAATGGTTCTTAATAATAGAAATTAAAGCATCTACTAATTTGAAAAATTTGATGTCATTATATGATTAATTGATTTAATAATAAGTTGAATCAATTAATCAAAATCATATGAAAAATAAGAAAATCGACTATAATATGGATTTAGCTATGTTGTAAATTGGAAAATTGTAACCCAATGCCACTACTTAAATTAAATAACAATAAAAATAGTAAAAAAAAAAAATAGAAGAGGAAGACCAATATCTAGAAACAAATATGAAAATCATAGTATTATGGAATTTCATTTATTTTTAAGGGGACATGTGAAGATTTAGAAAAACCTTATTTTAGACTTACTGGTTTGCCAGATCCTAATATGATTAGACCTGAACATATTTTAAAAAAAGCCTTAGTATAATTATTAGATAAATGGAAAAACTATTAAGTTGATTATAATTTTACTATTGAACAATTTAGATCAATTAGATAAGATCTCTTGGTCTAACATATTGAAAATAGATTTACAGTTTAAGTTTATGAAGAAAATGCTAGAATATGTTTAGAATGTGGTGATTTTCCAAGATATGAAAGTTGTTGGACTATGCTTGGAGATTTATATGATATGATTAGTATTAGTGAAGGGAAAGATGTTAATTTAATTGGAAATAAAGTTGAGTTTGATAGTTACAGAATATTCTATCTTACTATGTTAAATAAATAAGATTAATTAGTAAAAATACTTCATTAAAATTTAGATGATTAACGAATTAAATTTGCATTAGGGTATTTTTATTAATATTATATTTTTATTAGATTAAGAGAATCTTATAAATGTGGAAATTATGTTAAGTTATTTAAAGATTATAAAGAGTCTGGTGAAACTATGGGAAGTATAATTAATCATTTCTTAGTTAGAATTAGAGTAAAAGCATTGAAATAAATTGTTAAAACGTAAACATTTACATTTTTTATAGGTATATTTCTAATATTGATCTTGAATATCTTGCTGATTTATTAGCATTCTAAGATGTTGAATCATTTAAATAATTCATGTAATTCTTTGGTATTATAAAATTATTTATTATTTATTAGAATTAGTTAGATTTGATGAGACTTTAAAGTTTTTATTAATAAAATAAAGTATCAATGCTTTTGATAATATCAATTTTGATAAATTGAATGAGTGATGTGAAAAATTAAATAATATAAAGGATATATTATAATCTAATTCTAAATTTATTAATTTTTCAAATTTATTAAATTTTCTTTATTTTTAAATTAATCTAGTTCAAAAGTTCTTAGATCAAATTTAAAATCAAATGAATTATTCAAAGTTTTAAAAAAATAATTCTTTTCCCTTGTTATTATAATTTCTATTTAGTATTAATAATTAATTTTGTCAAGAATAATCATTACAAAATGGTATCTTATCATTTTATGTTATATTTCTTAAAGTGAATTCTAAGATTTTATAGAATTCTTGTAAGCAATAAATTTAATTTAACAATAAAATATTTATATAACGAAAATTCAAAAGTAAAATGAAAGGAAAATTAGTATAATCCTTAATTAATTTAATTCCAAATTAACATTAGGAAACATTGATTAAATGTGTGTTTATAATTGGATTCGATAAGCTAATAAAAAAGGGTTTTCTAATTAATGGTAAACCAAAAATACAAGAAATAATAGATTATTCAAGTAAATTAAATATTTATATAGATAAAATATAAGCAACTGGTAGATTAGGTTTTTCTTAAATACCTTGTGATGTAAGATAAGAATTGGATCATTTAAAAGATGAGATAAATAAGTTGACGTAGTAAATACAATATAACAATTCGATAATGTAATTTTGTGATGTATTTTAGATAAAAGCAGACATAAAGAAGTCATGATAGATTATAAATTTAAAGTGTTTCTCCACAATATGATGATAGAAAAAGATCTGCATCAGTTGGATATAAGTAATAATAATTATTGATTTAAAAAAAAACTAAAGAAATAACTCCTAAAATCACGGAAACGATACCATAAACAATAAATTAAATAAACATTACTATTTCTAAACATCATTTGGATGATACAGAGATTAAATCAATAATGAGAGATAATTTAATTAAAGAAAAACCTCCTAAGCCTCAAAAGATGAATTAAGATTAGCTTTTCAAAAAAAATAATTAGATTGAATATTAGCATATAGATACAGATGAACATAATACATATGAAGATTCTGAGAATGCTCTCTTAAAAGAACATCATATTCCTTAAGTTCTTTAATATTCAAATCTCTAAAATAGTTAGTTATCATAGTATTAATAATAACTACAATAGTAATAATAAAATACTTTCTAATAATAAACATTTTATTAATAGTAACCTATATAGATTTAATAATTATAATAATCCTAAGTTTCATAATAATCAAATACAAGGTAAAGTGATCATTAATCTCATAATACAAATTAAACATTTGCTTAACCTTAATCTAGTTAAAAGTATTTAATTTAACCATAAAAATCACCAAATAATAAATCAAGATCTCCAAATAAATCATCACCAAAATTTAAATATTAATAGAAGCAAAATTATAAGAAAAATTTAGAAACAGTATAGGAAGAGAGTTTTACATTAGTAAAACATTAAAGTAGCCATTCAGCTTCATCTAAAGGACGAGGATCTTTTAGATAATAGAAAACTTAATAAAATAATAATTAAGCTGTATCTAAAATAAAAGCTTTGTTGGATTAGGATAAGAAAATATATAAGTAAAATTAAATAGATGTAACAAGTGAGAGAAGATCTTTTATTAATTCATCTAATAAAATGAAGAATATTTCAGATGATTATTAAGAGGAGAATAGTTAAGTAAAAAATTAAGAACTAAATGATTCAATAAATAAAAGAACATTTTAAAATAATAGTTTTTATAAATAATAATAGAATAATCAAATTTCACCATTATAAGATTCAGAATAAAAATCTTAGAGTTTAAATCCATTAAATTAATTTTAAGGATCAGTGTCAATGACAAATTCAAATGGAGTTAGCAATTTTATAGTGAGTCCTTAAATATAGGATAATAGATTAATTTATAGTAAATATAAATAATAGATGGTTAATCAATATTCTCCTAAATTAAAATATTAATTAAGACCATAAAGTATGGGTAAATAATAAGAGAGTGATTTTAAAAGATCTAATGATTTCAATAGAAGTTCAGTTAGTAGTACATTTTCAATGTTTAATCCAAACGAAGAGTTAAAAACATTTTTTTAGAATGATTTTTTAGAGAGAAAACGATATATTCCTTAAGGATATAATGATATGACAAAATAAGTATATAATTTAATAATAATATAGTCTTCTTTAAATTCTTCTCAAGATCATTAAAGTAAGTATATAAGTGCAAGTCAAATAGAAGAACAACAAAATTAGAGTAAGAACATATATAGTCCATAATAATATTAAAATATTGATAAGTCTAATGTGTTCAATAATAATAGGCTTAGCGTTACTAGAATACTAAATAATTCATAAATATGAAAATATATTCGTTTTTAATTCTAAATGAAATTATTATTGCTTACTTTTTTAGTAGTGTCCCTATCTTAATGGATTAATAGTTATGAGGCATTTGTAGATGATTCCTTTTCAGATTTAGATGGTAAATTAATGTTAAAATTTATATAGGTTGGCTAATTTAAAATTAATTCTAAGCAACTTCTGATATAATAACAAAATGTAATGAAAAAACGATAATAGGAGGATTAAAAACATTTGGATAAAAGACAACTGCAACAAAATTTATAAAATTGGCTCCACATTATAAATTGAAATTGAATTTTTAGCTTTGGAAGTATATCTGTTAATTAAAAATAGACTAGGTGAATGGGAAAACAATATATTTTCAATATATATAGATGGTGTACCTTGGGAAATGAAATGGGGATATATAGATGGAGGAATAAGATTATGTGGTGGTTAAGAATCAAAACATAGTGATAAGATATTTGATATAGAATTTGAGATTGTTCATAATTCTCCTACTTTAACAATTATTTTATCATCAAATTAATAAGGATAAGCAGATATATAATCATGGGGATTTAGATAAGTTAAAATATAATTATTATCATGTCCGTCTTAATGTGGAATATGTCATAATGATAATGTTTAGGAATGTTAAAATTGGAACTAAGAAGCATTAAGTTGGTTTCATATAGATACAAAATTAGAAGGATGGATTTTAGAAAATGGAAAAGAGAAAGCATATGAATGTTCTGGTATTGTTATTTTTGGAGGATATGAAAATTTTGGAGTTAAATCAACGTTGTCCAAATCTTTTATAAATATTGCTCCTCATTATAAAATAATGATTAAATTTACATTTTGGAAAGTAATTTAATTTAATAAATAAGATTGATCTTTGGGATAATGATGAATTTTATATTAAAATTGATGATAAAGAAATTAAAAAAATAGCATTTTAGAAAACTGATGGAATAGAATTATGTGGGTATAATATATAAATATTATTTATTTTATAGAAAATCTAATACTTCAGGTTATGGTGAAAAAATTGTAGCAGTAGAAATATTATAAAAACATTCAAATCCTTCTATTAAAATATCATTTTCTAGCTCTTTAACTAAAGATTCAAATATTTAATCATGGGGTATAAGAGATTTCTTTTTATTTTCTGCATAATGCACTAAATTTTGTGATGAATGTGTTGGTAATGCTGAAAATGAATGTACAAAATGTCATCCTACACATACATTATCTAATGGAAAATGTCTTAATAAAAATGAATGGTATATATCATCTAAAGAATTTTTTGATTAAGAATCTTTTTAAAAAATAGAAGGTTGGAATTTTTAAGAAATTGATCCTAATGGTCCAAATCCTCCTATTACTAAATGTTTTGATATGTATCTAATTGGAGGATATTAATCTTTTGGAAAAGTATTAATATAAATATATATATTAAAGAAAACTACAGTAACCAAAAAGTTTACACTACCTAAACATGATTATATAAGAATTATAGTTACTATATATAAAATTGATAATTGGGATGGAGAAGAACTATCTATATTTATTAATTAAGAAGAATAATGGACATAGTTTTTAGGGTGGAATGATCCTCCATAAACTGATATCTGTGGAAATTAAAATAATAATTGGAAGGAAAGAATTATTAAAATTGATAAAATAATTACTCATACTTCTCCAGAATTAATATTTGATATTAGAAGTACCCTTTAAAAAGAAGCTAATGAAGCATCATGGGGATTTAGAGAATTTTTACTTCTTTATTCACCACTCAAAGAATGTATCTAAGTCTTTAGTGAATGTAATTACAAAGGATTATCACAAAATATTTGTGATAATTTAGATTCCTTAACCAATGTAATTTATTTATTTTCATATTTAGGCTAAAATAGAATTTGATATTAAATCTATCAAAATTCCTGAAGGAATGAAAATAACTGGATATAGAAATCTAGGTTTCAAAGGAGATAAAGTTGAATATGAAACAAATCAAGAATGTCTTGATATCATAGAATTCTCATTTATTGAAAAATAACTTATTGGAAATATGAAATATATTCATAAATGATAAAAAATTATTAATTATTTTTATTATTAAAATGTGAAAGGTTATTCACATAAATTGAGTACACATTAGGATTTCAAAAATGTATTTCAAAATCTATTAGTGGCTGTTGCAAATATTGCATCTAGCTTATCTAATTTATCAAGTTTTATTTTTAAATGTTTTTTTTTACTCAAAAAATGTGTAGATCTATCATATAAGGGTAACATTAACTCAACTTTTTATTATAGAATTTCATTTTGAAATTATGATTGATTAATATTTCTTCCTGTTTGAGGAGTTAATGATATACTTTATTCAATAGCTCTCTTTTTATATAATTATTTTGAATCTTTCAAATTTATATTATTTGCAAACTTTCTTTTTCTAATATATGGAGATTCCTATATAAATCTTTAAGTTTGATCTATTTTATATCCTTATTCTTCCATTATTAATTCATCTGTTTAAATAGATTTACAATTTGTGTCTTTTATAGTATCGCTGCGTTATTTTTAATTGATTGTTTTATTTTATTTTATAAATAGTGTTTTTGCCTTTTCATTTACACTTATTGAACCTGTTTTCGACATAATTTCTTAAAAATGTCTAATTGATCGAGAATATGAAAAAATTCTTTTTGGAGGCTCTAAGACCTATTTTATAATCTAATATTAATGCTGACAAAATTGTTATTTTTGATTTGGTTTATTTAACAAGATTCTAAGTTTATTTCTTCTTTGAGATATAATTTCTTAATCAAAATCTAAAATCATTTTAATTATATAATGATCATATTTTATCAGGTTCCTTGAAGGAAAATAAAAAAATAATTTAAAGAAACTAATAATAAAAATACAAAAAAATGCTAAGTTAGATAACAGCTTTACTTTATGTTTACTGTAAGGAAGAGAAAGGTGAACAAAATTAAGAAAGATTTACTTATTATTGTATGTTGATAGTGTTTATTAATTTTTTGGGATTATTTTTAAATACCTTTGAATAAAATCCAAAAACAAAAGAGAATTCATTAAAAATCATTGTGGAATTAATTTGTTCTTTATTGGGATTGATTTCAATATTGACTTACTTTTTTTATTATTTTATGGAGTTTTCAATGGCTAGTATGTAAATGCTAATCGGATTGATATTAATATGGTTAATTGAATGTTCCCTTTATTATATATTAAGTGATAAAGGATTATAGAGTATGCTAAGTTTATTTATAACAACAAATGTATTATTGATAAATGGAGAAATTACATTAAAAGGAACTGGATAATATAGTGTAAACAATATATATATAATTTAGAATTTATTTGATTACAGTTCAATTAATTTGATAGTGTTATGTGCTCAATTTTCTTGGGCAGGAGTGCCTACGATTAAAAAAACAAATAGTCTTTTTTATATAATTTCAAGATAGGACTGTTTTAGATTGATGGTATATTTTTTATTATTCAATCTTTTGAATAATACAATTAAAGCAGTAATTGAGAATATTTATGCAATTGTACCAACTCTTATAACATTGATACCATATATTTGGGCTACAACAAAATTTAGTCAAAGAAGATTCAAATAAGCATTTGGATTATTTCTTTTTAGTCTTTTAGTTTACTTTTCAACAGAAATCTATATAAAATAATAATGGTAACTACAATAATCAAATATATAAACAGATTAAGCAATTTAACTATGACTTTGTAATTGTGATTTTATAATTTTATATTATTAATAAAATAAAAATCTTCTATCTCAAATTTTCATTTTATTAAATAGTATCTATATAATATGAGTTGAATTTTGAAAGTCACATGGCTTAAAATCTAAGATAGAGATTTTTCGATTAATGAAAGATATTGATCAAACACATCAAAATAATGAATTTATCTTATGTAGCATAGAATGTGATTAAGATAAATTGTATTGAAAAAAGTAGTCACAAAAAAGAAGTTTATATTTAAATATTATAAATATAACATTAGCATAATTCAAATTATAACTTTGCTAATTCAACTTATAAATCATCCATTCTGTTTTCAAAGTATCAATGGTGCTCAATTTTTATTTTTCTATATATATAATATGTCTTGGTTTCTCATTCTATTTCTCAGTAATATTAAGTTGATTGATCTTTTTTGATTATTTAGAATAATCTCAGAATTTAAGGAATAAATATATGTATAAAAATTAAGTAAAATTGATAAAGATTTGATGTTGATAAATTACTTAAATATTATTTTTAATATGATTGGGTACCTACATTAATTAATTTGTGTTAGTCTAATCTAATTATATCATTAATAATATAGATCTTTCCATATTGGAAACATATAATAAAGTTATTCTTAACTTTTTTATAATTTATATATATAATAAATACATAATAACTCAAAACTATATTGTATTTTTCTTTATAAAAAACTTCTTTTCATTTTTCAATCTTTTACTAGTATCTTAACTGAATAAATTAGTTTATTAATGTACATCTTAACTTATGTATTTCTCTTACTCTTTATAAAATTGTTAATATTTTCTTTAAAGTAGAGTATGATTTAAGTCAAATCCATTAACTTAGGGAGGTCGAGAATTAAGTGCAACATTTAAATGATAAAAGAATCCGAAAATTACTCTTATATATCCAAACAAAAAGATGATGTATACTGAAGGAATAATAAAACTTTCATGTTAAGATGTATAATATGATTTGGATAAATTGTAATAAATTCCAATACATACTATTAAAGGGAAATAAATTAACAAAGCTTATAAAAATTCAGAAATTTATCTACTATTTAATAAATATCTTTTGATTTAAATTCCAATTTATGGGCAAAATTATCTTAGCACATTCTCTAAAACATAATTCTTCTCACTCATCTTCCATATATAAGAGAAAAAAGTTGCCTAATCTGCATCCAAATTTTTAAATAGACAATGCATATTATAATAATTTGTATAAGTAACAATCATAAATTTTATCATTGTTATTGATGATAAAACAAATAAAAGCACAAAAAATTTGAATTACAATTCAGTTTTAATATTTTATTCCTGTAAGTAATTTATAAAACTACCACAAAATCCCATAATTTAACATTCAAAATAATAATCTATTTAGATGAAAAACTGCATAAAAAATAACATTAATTCATGTCTAAGAGGATATTTGTACATTTAAGATTACTTTTCTTCAAATGTTCTAATACAATAATCAGGAATTGCTTCTAATCTGATTTTGATTGCTACATATAAGTTCAATGCTTAAACATAAAATGTGATAATTAAATATATAATTGATATTACTGTTATATATAAATTATAACTACTAAAATAGCAGTAATTCCTTCCTTCACAATTTATATTGACTTATTTTGGATCTACTATATGATTAAAATAAAATCCTACAATGAGACTCAAAAATGCTTAAATAGGTGATGATAGCATTTGAATAAAACAATAAGTTTTAATTTAGAGTTTTTTTTATCTTAAAAATCTATATAAAGAGCTACTTAACTTAAAATCTGTATATTAACATTAATTTGTATTTATTAATTAAATAATCCATTTTCCAAAACTTCTATTTTTCAAGAAGTAATTCTTAAGTTTTATTAAGGAACATTATAATATTCCATCATCAAAAATGTTAATTATTCTTTCCTCATTATCTATTTTACCATCAATAAGATTGTATTCCTTAAATTATTCATTTATCATGCTGATATACATATGTATCTTTCCAACACTTGTACATAATTTAGTACTCCCTGAAAAATCAATAACTTCCAAATATTAAAAGTGAAAATATTTTTAACCAAATAAAATTAAAAAAATATCCGTCAAATTTGAATCTCTAATTATAAGACTTTTCAAGTAAAAAGGAGTGATTTTTATATTATAATTCACACTATATTACACATATTATTCTATTAACTAAATTGCTAACTCTTCAGATATGCAACTCCATGAATTATAAATATATAATCCTGGATTCATTTTCATGAACTCTATCAAATATTAATTTCCAATAACCTTATTATTATCAATTATTAGCAAATTAAAATGAGTTAACTTTTATAAACATTTTTTAGAGAGAATAGGAGAATCTATACAATTACTAAATTTAATTATATTTATATTTACCTAGAAATTACTAATTTTCTTAATTTACTTTTATTTTCTAATATAAAATTAAAAAGCATGTTATATCCTTTAGAAGTAATATTATTTGTTGATAAAGATAATTCTTATAGTTTTATTTAATTTGCTAACAATTCCAGTAATAGTTCACAATGATCATCTTCAAATTGACATTCATTGAAAATTATCACTATCACATTTTAAAATATTTAGTTAGGTCTAATTCTATTTATTAATTATTATAAACATGGTAATTAATATTTTACTCGCGATAAATCAAGTTGAAGCAAATTTAAAAATAGAAACATTGATTATTCAGGCTATTTAAAATTAATTAAAAAGTCATATTTATATTCAGGAAGTACTCTTAGAAGTGATTACTTTTTAGTTTTGGAGAATTTTAATTTTTTTAACTAATATATGTTATTTTTAAAAATGTCAAAAAAATTATAATAGCTTTCTTAGGTAATATTATTTCTTGATAATTCAAGTTGTTATATTGTTTTATTATTTGATAGAGATTCAATTAATAATCTGCATTTTTAATCATCTAATTTGATATTTGATAGATTCAAAGTAATTAAACTATTATTAGAAGAAATTCCTTCACATAAAATTTCAAATTTTTATTTATTTATTCTATTTTCACTTATATCAAGTTCTATTAATTGATCAGTTTATTAGAGCAGTTATTTCAAAATAACAAAAAATTCAATCTACATTGATGATTTTTTTATAATCAAATGTTAAAGATTTGCAAGAGCTTTAATCTTTATTAGATTAGAAAAGGCATCAAGAATTTCCTTCTATTCTATTAATTAATATTCAAAAATTAGGGATTTCAACTATTTAGTGTAAGACATTCCATTTAGCAAAGTAAGTAAATAATTTTATGATATTAAAGTATTCGATATTTCTATTACTTTTAACGAATCTTTATTTTATTTTAGTATTTATTACAAAAATTAATAAGATTCTAATCTACATTATATTTTATTAATTGTTAATGATTTCACTTCTTTATTATCAATTAATGCTTCAAAATTATTCATATAATCAATGGAATGATTGAAACTAATATCTAATACTTTAAAAGAATATATATCAGATATAATATCTGATAAAATTAATAAATCATCAGCAGTAAGTTTGAGATTAGATAATATTAATTGAGGGAATTATGAATGCATCTTTTATATACAATTTTTAATATTTTATAGAATTTTACCATGAATCCAATTATTAGATAAATCAACAATTTATAAGTTTCGATTTTTAAATAATAATGGTAATTTTATAACAGTAATTTCATTTTCATCAATTAAATTATTACTGATATTTAAATTTCTTAATGAACAACAATTTTATATTCCATGTATCAAATGTTATATTTAGTTTTTTAATTTATTACTTGAAAGATTTAAATTTAAAAGCGTTGAATTTTTACTAAGAGCATTACTAATTTATTCTAATGCTTATTAATTTAAAGTTCCTAGATTGTTTTAGGCTATTTAAAGAGTCGTCAAATTATATGTTTTTTCAATAAGAATACTCAATCTTTCAATTAAAATAGTTTAATTCAATCCACATGCATTTAAATTGAGATATTCAATTCTATTATACTATTTACTAAGTGATTCTAATATTGGCAGCATAATTTTATGATTATAACTGAAATCTAATTCCTTTAGATTTGTACATTTAATTTCAAAATACTCCTATTTACCACTTTAAATCTCATTTTCATCTTTAAAGAGTTAAGATAAAATTAATGATTTTAATCTTGATTCTTTCATCATTGATATTAATGCATAAACTAAGTCATATCTTAATTAATTGTGAGAGATATCTAAATATTATAATCTAATTTATTCATGATTAAAAATATAGACTAATATACCTTCACCATTAATTTAATTTTTTGAAACCGATAAACTTATTAAACTTGTATTTTCAATTAATGCATAAATAATAGAAATAAAACCTTTAGTTTTAATTTAATTATTAGTCAAATCTAAATACATCCATCTAACTTTTTCAGAACTTAATACTTAACTAATTTAATATGCTCCTTCAGTTTAAATTTAATTATTTGAAAGATTTAAGTAAAATACATTTAGAAAAAAGTTGTTTGGTATTTCCTCTATTCTATTATATGATAAATCAACTCTCAATAATTTTAAATTTAGAACTTACTAATTTTAAAATTCAATTAATTAATTATGAGCTAAATGTAATTCCTCTAATTGCATTTTTAAAATTATTTATTCTAAGAATTCTGGCTATGAAATATGATTTCCATTTAAATTTAATGACTTTATTCTAATCTACCTAACTGACATAAATAATCCTTTAGCTAATAATTCAATTCCATCATTTTTTATTTGATTATATGAAATATCCAAATAATCCAGATTTAATTTACCTGTATATTTAAGCATCATACTTGATAAGGCTATTATTCCTTCAGAATTTAAACACATCAATGATAATTTTATACGCCTATATTTTAAACATCACTTTACATACCTTAAGGAACTTAAATGATGAGTATTATCAAATATTAATGCTAATAAAGAATTTTCAATATTACAATGAGATAAATTTATCTCTTATAATTAATTTTTTCCACTTAAAACATATCTACAAAAATCTTAAACTATTGCTGGTGTGAATGCTTAATTATTAAATAAATTTAAGATCTTCAGTCCTGTATGATCTATCAACTGGTTTAAATTAAATAATATATATACTGCTTTAAATATACAACTAAGCCCAAAAGAGTTTATTCTACAGCTCCCTAAATTTAATATTTAAATATTTGTATTTTTTTATATTAAGCCACTGATCTCAATTGCATAATAAACATTTATGTTGCATCCTGATAAATTTACTTCACTAATTACAACATTAAAACTTACATCACTCGATTATTTATACTCAAAGTGTTGCATAATGTTGTAAAACAAGTTAACGCTCCTCGATTTATATGAAATGCAGCTTCTTCTTGATTTCTATCCAATTCTCTATTCATTTTCATTATCAGTTTCTTAATCAGCTTCTTAAAATTTATTTTAGTTGATGATTGATTTCTAACTAAACTACTCATTAATTAATTATTATCATTATCTATTTATAAAATAAGAATCAGCAAAAAATAAGATTGCACATTCTAAAAATTATATAAAATATTTTTATTATTCACTATCAAATTTCATATTTACCTCTCAATATATTAGATTATATGATTATTTTATTTTTTTTTACTTTGTAAATAAGAAATAATACATATTATTTCTCTTGTTTTAAATCTATCTTGTATTAATGGTAATTAATTAATATTAATGAATTCTTAGTTATAAATATAATTTTTTTTAAACAAATTTTATTAACTAAATAACAAATGATTATGACTAATCAAAGTTTTGTTGGTCAATAAATTAATATAAAATCCATTAAATATGTTTAGGTAAAAAATATAAATTAGGCTCATAATCTTATTAAATTATATATTTTTATTAAAATATTATTGTAATTTTTCAAAAATTTTGGAATCAGATTATTTTTAATAAATATAATCAATTGACATTTAAAATTTAGAATATCAAATCTTCAAATATAGAAGCACAAAAATTTAATCAAATTTCTTTTTATTTTGAAATGAAATCTTCCAAAGTAATTTTTAATAATTATAAAACATAATAATGATGCTAGTTCTCTGTATGAAATTTTATTTTTCAATTTCCTATCAATTTTCAAGTATAATGATTTTCTAGTAAACAATGGTTACTTTGAATATAATGATATTTAATATTATATGGAAATTGAGGATTTGATAATATTAATTTATATTTAATAGTATATTATACTTAAAGCAAGATCATATATGAAAAGTACTTATTTAATCAAAGATGTTATATATGAAAAGAATCAAGAGAGACAATAATAATTCCATAGAAACAAGTTGAAAGAGATATTGTCATAAGTACTAAAATAAAAAAATAATTATTATAGCCATTGCAATTGAATTCTGATGTTATAATGTAAAAATTAAAACACAAACATGAATAGATTAAATTAACTTAATAATTCTATACATAAGAATAGAACATTGAGAAATCTAGAATTGATAAAAATTTGATGTTAAAACTAATAAATAGAAATAACAAGTCAACAAATAATGTATTATAAACAACAACACGTTCAATTAATAGAAGTTCTAAGGTAAATATGTACTTGTAAACTATAAATAATGAAAACAAAAGCTTAGCAACAAGAATATATTCACTTCCATCAGTTATAAATTCTTAGAGACATCAATAGGATTATGAGAATCATAAATCGGATCTTAAAATCATGTAGAGATTTCATAAATAAAAATAATAAACAACTTAGGATGTTTTGAATTAATAAATATAGGAAATTTTAGGAAAAGGATTTGAAGGATCAAAGTATTAGAATTTGAATTTTTTGAGACAAATAGGAAAATAAAATAAATTCTTATTTATAATTCCTTTGTAAATGAGGTTGTTTTCAAAGTTTAGTAATAATAGAAATAATCCACCATATTTTTAAGTGAAAGCATTTAATGAATAAAAATATTTAGGAGAATCAAAATCTTTGTAATTGAATGATTTTCTAGGTTCTTTGACTGGATTATTAGTTTCTTAGGATCTCTTTACAATAAAGTTTACTCTCAATAAAATTAAATAAAATGAGGATGTAAATAAAAATAAAATAGAATTAGATTGAGATAGGACATTTTCAATTTACTGAATCAGCCTCTTCGATAAAAACTAAACGAGTAAGAGATAATATAGAAGCATCAATAAATGATCCAATAGAATGTTTTTTAAAGAAGGAGATAAATAAAGAATAAGTATGTGTGGGATTATTTGAATACTAGATAATTTAATTTTGTTATTGTGTAAATTAAAAGTATTTTTCCATTGATTTACTAGTTAATAATTAATGAAAGATAAATAATCATAACCATAATACTAAATTGAGATAGTATAGGTGTCCCCATAAAAGTCTGGATAAAAGAGTTATTCTGAAATGGATAAATTGTAATTAGATTGATATATATTGAACAATTATAAAATTTTGTTGAATAAAAACTTAATTACAAATAGTTAATAATTAATAATTAATAATTACTTAAAATATAAATAACAAATATCAAAGTGTAGGACATTTTTTTAATTTATTTTGTACTTGTATCCAATCCTAGATAGAAAGTATAAAATTATTCATCATTGATGTAGAGACTTTAAGATAAAGAAAGAAATAAATTAACTAATTAAATTATTGTAATACCAATGATTAAATGATTTATAGAAGAATAATATAATAAAAGGATGATTTAAGAGTAGAATTATATTTAATGGAGATAAATTATTAATAGATATTTTATATCAACATTATAATATCTTTATTGAAATTGATGGTTACAAATTATAAGAAATTAAATCCTTTAGTAGGTATCGACTAATTCAAAAACTAAATACTTGAATAGGTACAACCTTAAGAAATTTCGGATAATGATTTAAAAAAAAGATAAACAAAAGATTAAGTCTATAAATTATTTTTATCAAAATAAGGATATTTTCAGTTAATAAAGTCTGAACAATTTTTAATTTATAAATATCAATTCCAAAAATTTAAAAGTTAAAATTATCTTAAATTTATTTAGAAACTTAATATTACAAGGATAGAAATTATTAATAAATAATATTATTTATTATTCTGGTTATTACAAAGAAATTTGATATTTTTTGTAAATATTTATTATTTATTTTTGTTATATTTTTAGATTTTGTTGGGTTGAGTAGCTTAAATTGTGTGATTATGTTATTATTTAAATTAAAGAGAGTTTAAGTAAGTACTGCAGCAGTATCAATGACACTTCCTATTAAAATGTTTTCAGTTACTAATCAAACATTATAATATCTTTGTTACTGATAAACTATATATTCAATATTTCTAAGTTTGGATAAAAATAGTTAAGGTTAGATTTCATAGATTTGTAAAAGCATTTTTTGAACTGGGTTTAACATTTTATTTCTAGATTATTATTTTGATTATCAATGTTGCTATCTAATATTTAAATAATAAAGAAAAGAGTTAGTAAGAGGTTTTTACTTCTAGAGTATTATACAAAGTTGGTTGATTATTTTATTCAACAAATTATTTTCATTTTAATAATATAATGTACTCTAATTATGAATTCAGCTGTAGAATTCCACACCACAAAATAGTAAATAAAAAGATTGTCTATGTGGTTATTTTTGTCTCACACTCTTATTGTTCTGCAAAAGTCTAACATCTTAGATATTCAGATGCTGAGAAATTACATTTCAAATTGGATAAGTCATCATAGCAATTACGTCTAGCAGTTACTTTACCTTCATTTCCTGGTAAGAAACTATTTGGTAGTCATAATGATTCTGAATAAGGCATTTTGAGACGTGTACTCATTCATATATTCAATATTTTAGAGAACTGATTTGTAAGATTATTTTAACCAACTACTTAAAATTGATAAACTCTATTCTATACCATGTTTGAAATCTATGTTACCTGATATCAATGATGATAAAAGTGAACTCAATTAATTTTTATTGGATAAGTAATAAAATTTTATAAAACTTAGACCTTAACAATAATACAATTTTATTATTGATTAATTTTAATAATTAGACATGTTTGTACTATATTATGTATAAGTTATTGACAATTTTAATAAAACTAAATGGAGATTCAAAACTAGATATTCAGATTTAAGAGATATTCATTAAGCACTCAAAGAACAAATCAAATCTAATATTCCTGAATTCCCTAAAAGAAAAATTTTTGGAATTACCAATGATGATCCACAGGAAATTGAAAATAGAAAAAAAAATTTAGAAATCTACTTAAATTCAATTTACGCGTATTTTAATAAATTTTAATTAGAGTAATCCAGAATTAGCAAATACAGATATTTTAGATTATTTCATATAAAATAGTAGAAGAGAATCCAAAAAATTATAAAAATTTGATGAATAAAAAATGCTTTTAAAAATGGTATTTTTATAATCTATCTATCTTAGAAACTTAAATAAAAATAATAAAAACAATAATAAATTGAATAATTGTAACAAAAATTATTAAATGATAATAATAATTTAGAATATGATAATAAGATGTCTCAAAAACCTATTAAATCTATACCTAGAAAAGGGCTCTTTATAATTAAAGAACTATTAGATAAATATGAAGATGACAATACTACATTGATCAGATATATTTCCTTATCTACAAATCCATTAAATACTGTAGGTTTTAATTAAATGTCCACAACTATTTTATAAAATAACGAATTAGATGATCAATTTTTAAAAGCAGCCTCATAACCATAAGTTGGACAATTAATCATGGATGACTTTGAAGATGATTTTGTAATGTAAATAGATGAAATCACACCAGATCTTTAATTAACCGATTAATAGTAATGATAACTTTATAAATTGTATTTGTTTAAAAATTATTTAAAATTTCTTTTTTTTAAATTTTAATTTTTACTATTTATAATTAATCTTTTTTCAATTATATACTACAATTCCATAAGAGTAACGAAATATAGAATGATTATAAGATGAACAATCAACAAAAAAACCCGTATTATGTATTCAATTCTTATATTGGACTTTTATTAAAATTTTTACTCCAAAAAATGAAATGCACAGATATACAACTATTTTGTAAATTTATTTTAATTTTCTAATAAATTTAATTTTTAATTTTATTCATTCTACCTCATATTAGTAATATGAATGGAATATTTAAAATTCATTATGATTATGAAAAGGATTGTTTTAAAATATAAAATTTTCTAAAATTTTAATGATTTTTATGATTTAAAATTATAAATTAGTAATGAATTTAGAAATGAAAGGATTGTAGTAAAATAATTATGACTATTGAATTGTCAATTAAATAATTAATTTTAGTCTTGAATAAAGCAGTTAGTTTTAGAATCTAAAATTTTAAGAAATATGTCTTTCATTAGCCATAAAAAGAGGTAATAAGAAAATAATCATGTGTTAAGATATAACCTTCTTTAGAAATTAATGATATAAAATAGAAAATCTAATAGATTAATAAAATTTAATTTTATCAGTTTAATTTTCTCATTAGCTTTGCTGTCATTTTAGGCTTTTTAAGTATTATATAAAATCTAATATTATAATGAATTTTATGATTAGATATATTTTTGAATATTATGAAACAATAAAACTTAAATATATAATAAAATAATAATAAGTTGTTTCTTGATGAGTGAATTTCAGAAGATTGATGAAGATGATTATTTCCGTTTGAATGACATTTTTTGCATTTGGTTAATGAAAAAAGAAAACACTCATTTTGAAGATCTGTCATATAAGGATGCTAAGAAAAAATTCAAAAAATTTTGTAAAAGGTATAACAAATAAAAGCTTGATCCGTTATATTATGAACATGATAAATTAATCGAAAAATATCAATCAGATATTCAATCTAAACATAAATGGAATTTTAGATGAGGAAATAACTCATAAAATGATATTAACAAACATCTATTTAATAATATAAATAATTTAATTTATTGGGATTGAAATATATATTAATTTATTATTGTAGTTAAGAATGATGAGTTAAGAAGGATGAATTTTTAGAATAGAAAAGGAGGTGTGAAAAATATAAATTTTTTTTATCGATTAAAACATGTATAATTGATTTAGAAAATGAATAAAA